AGAATCGCCTCGCGTGTTTTGGAGAGAAGAGAAGAGAGAGCGGGCCGCGTAGTTTGTAGAGAAGGGAGAGTCCGGCCCGGCGTGTTGGAGAGAAGGAGACCCCGCTGTTGGAGAGATAGAGAGAGAGGAGAAGCGACCCGGACGTGTGTGGAAGAGAAGAGAGAAGGTGAAGCGGACCCGGGCGTGTGGGAGAGAGAGAGAGAGGGAGACGACCCTCGTGTTGGAAGAGAGAGAGAGAGAGCGCCCGGCGTGTTGGAGAGAGAGAAGAGCAGGTCCAGTACGGCGTGTTTGCGTAAGAGAGATAGAGCGCCAGCGGGCCAGGCGTGTTTGAAGAGAGAGAGCTGGCCCGGCGTGTATGAGAGAAGATTAGAGGCCCGCGTTGGTGAGAGAGGAGCGGCCCGGGCGAGTTGGAGGTATAGAGGGAGACGCCCGGCGATGTTGGAAGAGGTAGAGCGGCCCGCGAGTTATTGGAAGAAGACGAGATGAGAGAGAGAGCGTCTCCGGCGTGTTAGGAGAGATGAGGAGAGAGCGCCATCGGGCGTGTTGGAGAGAGAGAGGAGAGCAGGACCTCCGGTTGGAGAAGAGAGAGAGAGAGCGCCCGGTACCCGCGAGTTGAGAGAAATTAGAGAGTGCGGCCCGAACTGTTTGGAGAGAGAGAGAGAATAGAGAGCGCCCGGCGTGTTGAAGATAATGAGAGCGAGAGCGCGACAGCGGCCGCGGCGTGTTTGAGGCGAGCGAGTCGCAGAGCGGCCCGTCGTTAGTGGCTGAGAGAGACAGAGATGACGGGCCCGCGTGTTATGGAGATAGAGAGAGCGACAGCGGCCAACGCGTGTATGAGAGAGAGAGAGTGCGCCCGGGCGTGTGGAAGAGGGAGATTCGGGCCCGGCGATGTAGAGAGAGAGTGAGAAGCGTCCCTAGGACGGATTTAGCGAGAGATAGAGAGAGAGCGCATCACCTCGTGTTGGATTAAGACAGAGAGTAGCTCCCGGCGAGTTGATAAGGAGAGCGTCCCGGGTGATTGGAGGAGAGAGAGGGAGAGCGGCCCGCGTTGAGAGGAGAGGTGAGGAGCGGCCCAGGCGGTTTGGAGAGAGAGATGAGAGGAGAGAGCGGCCCCGCGTTGTGGAGAGAGAGGAGAGCGGCCCGCGTGTTTGGAGAAGAGGGAGAGCGCCCGGCTGTTGGAGAGATGATGAAAGGGGGGAAGAGAGATAGAGCGGTCCGCAGTGTTGGTCGTAGTATAGAGGGAAGAGCGGAGCCAGCGGCGTGTTGAGAGATAGATGAGAGAGAGAGCGGGCCCGGGCGGTTGAAGAAGAGAGAGAGAGGGAGCGATGCGTCCCAGCGTGAGTTGGTAGAGAGATGAGAGAGGGAGAGCGGCCCAGCGTGTTGGAGAGAGAGAGAGAGGGAGAGCGGCCCGGCGTGTTGGAGAGAGAGAGAGAGAGAGCGGGCCGGCGTGTTGGAGAGAGAGGGAGAGCGGCCCGGCGTGTTGGAGAGAGAGAGAGAGAGAGCGGCCCGGCGTGTTGGAGAGAGAGAGAGAGGGAGAGCGGCCCAGCGTGTTGGAGAGAGAGAGAGAGGGAGAGCGGCCCAGCGTGTTGGAGAGAGAGAGAGAGGGGAGAGCGGCCCGGCGTGTTGGAGAGAGAGAGAGAGGGAGAGCGGCCCGGCGTGTTGGAGAGAGAGAGAGAGGGAGAGCGGCCCGGCGTGTTGGAGAGAGAGAGAGAGAGAGCGGCCCGGCGTGTTGGAGAGAGAGGGAGAGCGGCCCGGCGTGTTGGAGAGAGGGAGAGCGGCCCGGCGTGTTGGAGAGAGAGAGAGAGAGAGCGGCCCGGCGTGTTGGAGAGAGGGAGAGCGGCCCGGCGTGTTGGAGAGAGAGAGAGCGGCCCGGCGTGTTGGAGAGAGAGAGAGCGACAGCGGCCCGGCGTGTTGGAGAGAGAGAGAGCGGCCCGGCGTGTTGGAGAGAGAGAGAGCGGCCCGGCGTGTTGGAGAGAGGGAGAGCGGCCCGGCGTGTTGGAGAGAGGGAGAGCGGCCCGGCGTGTTGGAGAGAGAGGGAGAGCGGCCCGGCGTGTTGGAGAGAGAGAGAGAGAGAGCGGCCCGGCGTGTTGGAGAGAGAGAGAGAGAGCGGCCCGGCGTGTTGGAGAGAGAGAGGGAGAGCGGCCCGGCGTGTTGGAGAGAGAGAGAGAGAGAGCGGCCCGGCGTGTTGGAGAGAGAGAGAGAGAGAGCGGCCCGGCGTGTTGGAGAGAGAGAGAGAGAGAGAGCGGCCCGGCGTGTTGGAGAGAGAGAGAGAGCGACAGCGGCCCGGCGTGTTGGAGAGAGAGAGAGCGGCCCGGCGTGTTGGAGAGAGAGAGAGCGGCCCGGCGTGTTGGAGAGAGAGAGAGCGACAGCGGCCCGGCGTGTTGGAGAGAGAGAGAGCGGCCCGGCGTGTTGGAGAGAGGGAGAGCGGCCCGGCGTGTTGGAGAGAGGGAGAGCGGCCCGGCGTGTTGGAGAGAGAGAGAGAGAGAGCGGCCCGGCGTGTTGGAGAGAGAGAGAGAGAGAGCGGCCCGGCGTGTTGGAGAGAGAGAGAGAGGGAGAGCGGCCCGGCGTGTTGGAGAGAGGGAGAGCGGCCCGGCGTGTTGGAGAGAGAGAGAGCGGCCCGGCGTGTTGGAGAGAGAGGGAGAGCGGCCCGGCGTGTTGGAGAGAGGGAGAGCGGCCCGGCGTGTTGGAGAGAGAGAGAGGGAGAGCGGCCCGGCGTGTTGGAGAGAGAGAGAGAGAGAGCGGCCCGGCGTGTTGGAGAGAGAGAGAGAGGGAGAGCGGCCCGGCGTGTTGGAGAGAGGGAGAGCGGCCCGGCGTGTTGGAGAGAGGGAGAGCGGCCCGGCGTGTTGGAGAGAGAGAGAGCGGCCCGGCGTGTTGGAGAGAGGGAGAGCGGCCCGGCGTGTTGGAGAGAGAGAGAGCGGCCCGGCGTGTTGGAGAGAGAGAGAGAGAGAGAGCGGCCCGGCGTGTTGGAGAGAGAGAGAGAGAGAGCGGCCCGGCGTGTTGGAGAGAGAGAGAGAGGGAGAGCGGCCCGGCGTGTTGGAGAGAGAGAGAGAGAGAGCGGCCCGGCGTGTTGGAGAGAGAGAGAGAGAGAGCGGCCCGGCGTGTTGGAGAGAGAGAGAGAGCGGCCCGGCGTGTTGGAGAGAGAGAGAGAGGGAGAGCGGCCCGGCGTGTTGGAGAGAGAGGGAGAGCGGCCCGGCGTGTTGGAGAGAGAGAGAGAGAGAGCGGCCCGGCGTGTTGGAGAGAGAGAGAGCGGCCCGGCGTGTTGGAGAGAGAGAGAGCGGCCCGGCGTGTTGGAGAGAGAGAGAGCGGCCCGGGCCCGGCGTGTTGGAGAGAGGGAGAGCGGCCCGGCGTGTTGGAGAGAGGGAGAGCGGCCCGGCGTGTTGGAGAGAGGGAGAGCGGCCCGGCGTGTTGGAGAGAGAGAGAGAGAGAGCGGCCCGGCGTGTTGGAGAGAGAGAGAGAGAGAGAGCGGCCCGGCGTGTTGGAGAGAGAGAGAGAGAGAGCGGCCCGGCGTGTTGGAGAGAGAGAGAGAGAGAGAGCGGCCCGGCGTGTTGGAGAGAGAGAGAGAGAGAGCGGCCCGGCGTGTTGGAGAGAGGACTGCATGCTCCATTCGCGCCAGCTAAAGCTGCGTTCACACCGGGGGCAGCTGGCGCGACAGAAGCAGCGAGTTTACATGCAAAGTCAATGGTTGACGCGCGTCAAGGCGCAGCAAAAGGTCCCGCGGCGCGTTTCGAGCAGCAAGCGCAGCGCGTCTGAGCAGCTGAAGCAGCGCGTCGGGCGCGTTTTGGCATCTGACGCGCGTGACGCGCCGCAAACGCGTTGCTGCTCGAGATGGAAAAATTGAATTTTTGCTGCTCGACGCGCCGCGTCAACCAATCAGAGAAGCTGATCTGGGAGCTGGCTGGGAGAGAGACACAGCGCTGATGACACAGACCGCTCTGATTTCTCCTCTTAAACAGTTTATTAAAGCATAATTAATTTAAAATATATACATCTGCCGGCAGAATATGTTCGCTTTTATTATTCTGGTGCCTGCAGATCGGATTATTTAGATGAAAAACACCTACCAGCCACCGCGGTAAACCGCGAGGAGGCGACCCGACCAGAGGCTGCTGATTAATGGATTCCTTCTGTCGGCGCACCGCCGGTATGTGGGGGTCTGAGCGGCTCCGACAGAAATAACAGTGGGAGGCAGGATTGTAATCTGGATGAACTGACTCCACTGATGAAGTTTTCAGGTGTATTTTCTTACTTAAAAACATATTAAAACTACTTTATTCCCACTGATCACAGCAAATATAGCTGCAAGGCAGAGAAAGGATAGTGAAGCTCCGCACAACGCGCGTCAGAGCCACTTTTGGACCGCGCAGCGAGAGCAGCAAAGCTGCTTCAGACGCGCGTCAGAATTCACTGGTACAAGCAGCAAAAATGAAGCAGCAGACGTGATTTTGCTGCTTTTGGTACACCCCTTTTTACAGGCTGTCCACTGACTCTGCTGTTCCTGACTACCCTGCATTTTTTAAAATCTTTTTTACATTTTAGCTTATTTTTAACAAACTTCTTTTAAGTGAACTCTTTTTAAAAAACAAGAAAAAAATCAATCATTGAACTCTTAAACTAATAAAAGGTTTTAGGGCTCTGCTCACAATCACCGCAGTCCTTTTTTTAGTTGTTTTTTTTGGATGATCGCACCTCTCGGTGCCACAGAAACCAGGAAGTGGGTGGAAATAAACATTGGTTTGTTTTTTTCAGCCCGATATCGATGCTGATATTTATTCTACTTTCCTGATCATCAATAATTCTAACAGGATGATTTCTAGGAGGCTCAGAAACTTGAGCACCAATAAACCTACGAATGCTTATAAGTCCAAAGGAAACCAACAGAGCCAGGAAACATGGACCAGTTCAGACAAACTTCACTCAATCAGACTCTTACCTGCTGTTTCACATATCTTAAACCAAAGGGGAACTTTTATAGAAATAGACCAAACAGATCTAACCATTTTCACTGATAACGGATCCAGAGTTTACATCAGCAATGATCGGTGCATCTCCATCAGGAGCTGCTTTCCTCAACAAGCACCGATCCTTTAGATCTGCTGCAGTAAAAGGAGGGAACGGTCAGACTGAAACTATCGCAGGTTGGAAGTGCAGTGGAAATCTGACAACAATCAGATGGAGGATTTATTCCCGTCTGCTCCCCGTTCTCCATATTTAGTGTCCGTTATTGTTTTCTCCTCCTCCTCCATCATAAAGCGGTTGGTGGGTTCAGTTTCAGAGTTCCCTCCTTCCTTTCTTTCCTTGTGTCGGTAGCCATGGAGAGGACGAGTGTAGGTAGCCATCCATGGAGAGGGACATGTGTAGGTAGCCATCCATGGAGAGGATATGTATCTGTAGCCATGGAGAGGATGTGTGGCGGTAGCCATCCATGGAGAGAATGTGTGTCGGTAGCCATGGAGACGATGTGTGTCGGTAGCCATGGAGAGGGTAGCCATGGAGAGGATGTGTGTCGGTAGCCATGGAGAGGATGTGTGTCGGCAGCCATGGAGAGGATGTGTGTCGGTAGCCATGGAGAGGATGTGTGTCGGTAGCCATGGAGAGGGTAGCCATGGAGAGGATGTGTGTCGGTAGCCATGGAGAGGATGTGTGTCGGTAGCCATGGAGAGGGTAGCCATGGAGAGGATGTGTGTCGGTAGCCATGGAGAGGGTAGCCATGGAGAGGATGTGTGTCGGTAGCCATGGAGAGGGTAGCCATGGAGAGGATGTGTGTCGGTAGCCATGGAGAGGATGTGTCGGTAGCCATGGAGAGGGTAGCCATGGAGAGAATGTGTGTCGGTAGCCATGGAGAGCATGTGTGTCGGTAGCCATGGAGAGGGTAGCCATGGAGAGGGTAGCCATGGAGAGAATGTGTGTCGGTAGCCATGGAGAGAATGTGTGTCGGTAGCCATGGAGAGGATGTGTGTCGGTAGCCATGGAGAGGGTAGCCATGGAGAGGATGTGTGTCGGTAGCCATGGAGAGGATGTGTCGGAAGCCATGGAGAGAATGTGTGTCGGTAGCCATGGAGAGGATGTGTGTCGGTAGCCATGGAGAGGATGTGTGTCGGTAGCCATGGAGAGGGTAGCCATGGAGAGGATGTGTGTCGGTAGCCATGGAGAGCATGTGTGTCGGTAGCCATGGAGAGGATGTGTGTCGGTAGCCATGGAGAGAATGTGTGTCGGTAGCCATGGAGAGGATGTGTGTCGGTAGCCATGGAGAGGGTAGCCATGGAGAGGGTAGCCATGGAGAGGGTAGCCATGGAGAGGATGTGTGTCGGTAGCCATGGAGAGGATGTGTCGGTAGCCATGGAGAGAATGTGTGTCGGTAGCCATGGAGAGGATGTGTGTCGGTAGCCATGGAGAGGATGTGTGTCGGTAGCCATGGAGAGGGTAGCCATGGAGAGGATGTGTGTCGGTAGCCATGGAGAGGGTAGCCATGGAGAGGATGTGTGTCGGTAGCCATGGAGAGCATGTGTGTCGGTAGCCATGGAGAGAATGTGTGTCGGTAGCCATGGAGAGGATGTGTGTCGGTAGCCATGGAGAGGATGTGTGTCGGTAGCCATGGAGAGGATGTGTGTCGGTAGCCATGGAGAGGATGTGTGTCGGTAGCCATGGAGAGGATGTTTGTCGGTAGCCATGGAGAGGGTAGCCATGGAGAGGATGTGTGTCGGTAGCCATGGAGAGGGTAGCCATGGAGAGGATGTGTGTCGGTAGCCATGGAGAGGGTAGCCATGGAGAGGATGTGTGTCGGTAGCCATGGAGAGGATGTGTGTCGGTAGCCATGGAGAGGATGTGTGTCGGTAGCCATGGAGAGGATGTGTGTCGGTAGCCATGGAGAGGATGTGTGTCGGTAGCCATGGAGAGGATGTGTGTCGGTAGCCATGGAGAGGATGTGTGTCGGTAGCCATGGAGAGGATGTGTGTCGGTAGCCATGGAGAGCATGTGTGTCGGTAGCCATGGAGAGCATGTGTGTCGGTAGCCATGGAGAGGATGTGTGTCGGTAGCCATGGAGAGGATGTGTGTCGGTAGCCATGGAGAGGATGTGTGTCGGTAGCCATGGAGAGGGTAGCCATGGAGAGGATGTGTGTCGGTAGCCATGGAGAGGATGTGTGTCGGTAGCCATGGAGAGGATGTGTGTCGGTAGCCATGGAGAGGATGTGTGTCGGTAGCCATGGAGAGGATGTGTGTCGGTAGCCATGGAGAGGATGTGTGTCGGTAGCCATGGAGAGGATGTGTGTCGGTAGCCATGGAGAGGATGTGTGTCGGTAGCCATGGAGAGGATGTGTGTCGGTAGCCATGGAGAGGATGTGTGTCGGTAGCCATGGAGAGGGTAGCCATGGAGAGGATGTGTGTCGGTAGCCATGGAGAGGATGTGTGTCGGTAGCCATGGAGAGGGTAGCCATGGAGAGGGTAGCCATGGAGAGGGTAGCCATGGAGAGGATGTGTGTCGGTAGCCATGGAGAGGATGTGTGTCGGTAGCCATGGAGAGGATGTGTGTCGGTAGCCATGGAGAGGATGTGTGTCGGTAGCCATGGAGAGGATGTGTGTCGGTAGCCATGGAGAGAATGAGACGACTTTGCAATGAGCCGTCCCCCTCCTGCTCTTATTTCTGGTCCTTACAGCCATCGGGACCGTCCTCCCTCTCTCACAGTCTCCCTGCTTGGTGATGCAAGGCACAGCCCTCCCACGGTGACTAACCGGTGCGGGAGATCCAACCGTAATGCTGCTATCCCTGCTGGTTGCCATGGAGACAAACGCTCTGTAGCCGGAGCTTAGGATTTCTCTCCTCCCTCTGTCTGTGCTGGGATCTTTCTCTCCAGATTAAAATCTGTGGGAGCAGCACGGAGGCTGGGCGTCATCCACAGCCGATCGGCTCCCCGGCAGACATGATGGAGTGGAGCGCTGCAATAGGGGCTTTGTTTATGAGCTGCTCGCTGCTGAAGCCAAAGGCGACAGGATTTATGGAGGTGCACTGGAATAAGGCGGCAGGTTCCACTGGCAGAGTTTAGGAGGAGGAGGAGGAACCATCAGGCTGGGATGGATGACAGGAGACTGGTGCTGCTGGTGTTGAATAAACTCTGAGGAAAGAACAGAGTAGCAATAAGGGAAGGAGATGCAGCCATTTGGCAGGAGGTGCTGAGGAAGACGAGGAGAAACGATTCTCTGTGATCCAAGCCATCCCCCTCTTCCTCAGCGGAGGATCCACACGCTCAACACCCAGAAAGCATGGAGCCCCTGAAGGTGAGCCATCTTCTCCTTCTGGTCATGCTCTGAACTGAATGTTTTCTGAGGTCCAGCTCAGTCAAACAGGAGGAAACGGCTCCCTCTCTCATCTTCATCGTCTCACTGAAACTTTGGGTTTTTAACCCCTTTTCCTTCGGACAGAAGCCGATGACGCTGATGACTGCGCCGTCTTCTTCTGTCCCAGGGGTCTCTCTACCAGCTGAGCTGAGCATCAGCACCATGGGCACCACGGTCATCACCCTGGACGATGTCCGGGCGCTGGAGCTGAAGGAGGAGCAGGAAGAGTCCTTCCTGGCGCTGCTTGGCATTGTTGGCACGTTCCTCAACCTCTTTGTAATAGTTTTCGTCTACATTTATACCACGCTGTGAGAGGGGAGGGGGGATCCTACCCATCGATGATCAGACTGGAAGCAGAGCCATTCCCGGTCTGACATGAAAATCGCTCCCAGATCTAGATGGAGGACCCTCCCAGAAGCAGCAGTCATAGCGCCAAACCCAGCGCTGGTGGAGAGGTAGCGAAGGGCTGGGGGACCAGGACTGAGTTTGGAGCGGCTGGGAGGCGACCCGGCCCGACAGAGGACAGCGGTGTCTGAATGCCTCTAATGCTACGTTCAGACCGCACGCAACAGAAGCAGCAAAAAAACACTGCTGCTTCATTTTTGATGCTGGTACACATTAGGATCCGACTTCTTAAGTGCATCTTTGATGGTCCTGAAGTGCGTCCAATAAAATGTGTCCCCTCAGTTAATTTACACGCTAATAAACTATTTCAGTGATCATAGCGCTCTGCATCAGCAGTGCTGTGTCTGTCTCTCTGACAGCTCCCAGATCAGCTTCTCTGATTGGTTGATGTGGCGCGTCCAGCAGCAAATGATACATTTTTTCCATTTTTTTCAACTCCAGCAGCTGCTTCTGAAGCATTTCAGCGGGTCAGATGCTCAGAAGCTCATAGAGCGCTGCAGGACCTTTAGCTGCGACTTGATGTGCATTAACCATTGACTTTGTATGTAAAGTAGCTGCTTCTGCTGCTTCAGGAGCGTGCGGTCTGAACGTAGGATAAGGGTGCCGCCATTTGTCAAAAGGCTGCAGCTCTTCTGACAGGAACCATGAGGAGGAGCTCCTGGAAGGCCAAGGTGTCGTCAGACACCTTGCATTGTGGGAAATAAACCAAGGAATGGGAGCTGCTGTGAGCCAAGCTGACAGCAGCTGAATCTTCTACTTCTGCATGTATTGTGGTGCAGAAGGCTACACTGCCCCCTAGAGTCCAGCAGAATACCGGGGACGCTGCGTCAGCCATGTTCCTCAGCAAAGCATAGACTGAGCTCATTCCAGGAAGACGGCATGGTGCAGAAGGACTGCTGGGAAAGAAAACCCTCTTCTGGGATCAAAATTGAACATGTGGAGATATTTTCATATTGAGGTCTTCACATAAAATGTTAATTATTTATAATCAGACATATCTGAACTTCTGCTGCTTTTTCCTCTCATGTTGAAAATAAGATGTTTATAAAACGCGTCTCTGAGAGTCTCAGTGGTGTTTCTATGAACATTTAAATAAGTCTACATGTATTCATCAATGATTCATATTTAAAAAACCTACTAGTCTGCAGAAGTTTTGAGCAGGCTCAAGATTTCTCAATGTATGCCAGCATATGCTCATACGCATAAGTTCCAGGTCAGTTATCTGATCGTTGAGATACGTTAAGTGTAAGTTACTCATAAGTCGTGGCGTCTAGCTTATCCTAAACCTATGAGTAACTTCTGCATAACATATGCGTAACTTATCAAGTCTCATCTCCAACGCATATCAACATATCCGACATGTTCCAGCTACTGTATAATGGCGTATTGGCAGCGTTTTGGTTCACAGGAGGAAACGGTCAGTTCTCCTCCTGACTTCATCCCCATCATAGGGTGAGCCAGAAGGTGAGTGTGATGGATCCTCCATGCGTTCACGACCACCACCAACAAACTTCCTAGCCGACATGATGCTGAATCTGCTGCCACTGCAAACCTTTCTTACTTTTTTTTTTAATTTATTTATTTATTTATTTTTGGCTGGTGGTAAAAAGCAGCTAGGTTAATAAAGATATATTTTTATGTAGGCCGGGCGCATCGATGCCCCTGAGGGAAGCAGCTTTAAGAGATGCTTCGTAATGCCCATGAATTGTGCATTATTTCATGGGCGTTGTGCTGTCGTGCATTATGCATAAGTTAGGCTGTCGTTGGACATCAGTTCTGGACTGGTTATGAATACTCTATGTATACCCCTGTATGCCAGCGCTTTAGAAAGATTCTGGGACGTCGGGCATACGTTGGTTGAATTGAGTTGCTATAATGCTGATGCTGCTGAAAAATAGTGTCTGGGTGGATCCTATGGTACAGGAAGGGGAGTAGGCTGGGTTCGGACCCGGATCCCATGGTGGTTCTGGTTCTACTGTCTCGTTTCCTACTGTTATTGATAAGGGTTCTGCAGCCATGTCCAACCCTCCTGGTTAGCATGAAGCTGCTAGCTAGCCCAGCCCTTCAGAGTCATCCACACTGAGGCTGAGTCCCTAAATCCCACCATCATTATATAGAGCGGGGACTTTATAGTGAACCGCACTACTTTTCACTCCTCTGTCACATGACTCCGCCTCCCCACCTGGTGCCTGCGCCATCTTTGTAATTTGTCGCTGCTGTGATTACAAATCTCATATTGCTATGTGAGGAGAGTTCTTGCAAAGGATTCTGGGATATATCTGCTCGTCTAATTACCATAAATGTTTACTACTTTTCAAGGTATATTGTGGGAAATTTTGAATCCACTACTTTTTCATCCAGTAAACACTCATTTAAAATGCCGTAGCCACTATATAGTGCCCTATGAAGTGGTTAGGGAGGACATTCGGACACAGCCTAACTGATCTTTTCCTCTTCCTCCCTTCTTTCATGTGGCAGCTTTGGTGCGCCACCCACTAGTGTGGCCTGAGTATTACCACCTCCATTACAGCTTTAGGTGGTTTTTAATCCGTTCACTCAAGTGTTCCGGTTTGGACACCGTGTGGACTTCTGAAAGTTTTACATCCTGTTAAAAAACTGCTTTAATATATGCAACACAGCAATGACCAAGCTGTAACCCAGGCAGATGTGTGGGCCAACAGTCCACCACCGTGGCTTTGCTCCGTCCGCGTTCGGTCAGAATGATGGGACTCAAAGGTCGCTTCATCAGAGGCTTCATGATGCAGGCAGGAGGAAAACCAACCTCCAGCCTGCGCCAGAGAGCAGACTGAATGTGCAGGAAATGTGGTTTCTGATGAAGATAAATTAGTCCTCTAGCATCATTCAAAGGTATTATCTCACATTAATGGCCTAATTCCCTAAGATAGAGTGCACTGGAATAATACTGTACCCCAGAAGGCTGCTCCAGGGCAGCGCTGATTAGTGTGTGCTGGGTGGAATGGGCAGCAGGGCTGAGCAGCTACTCAGAGCCTGAAAGGTTACACCAGGTGAAAAATAATGCTGCTGCTGCAGAGAAAGGGTTAAATCTGCATTGTAGCATCTCATTTTTATTTTGTTAATGCCTAAAAACAATAAATTTGACCCGTAGGATGGTCTCTCAATGTCCTCAGGGGCTTTTATTAATTAGCCGCAAACAGCAAAGGTCCGATCAAAACAGCTCAACAGAGAAGATCTGTTTGTGCCCATTGTGCTTAACCTGACTCTGCCAAATGGAAACCTTCCGTTGAAATAATTTTGGGAAGGGGCGAAAATACTGGTTAGCTGATTGGCCTATGTTGGTGATAGACGGGCCAAAGAAACCAATCAGATCAACGAAGCATATGACGTACTGACAGCCAGGCTACTCTTGCCGAAACCAGTCAGAAGAGCAAAAACATCTTTTCCTCTGAGAAAAGCCTACAGAGCAGTGTTTTGCTCTTCTTTTAGTGAAGAAATACTCTGTAATTCCGATAAAACTTGCTCGATAGCCACGCTAACGCTAGTTTCATCGGCTGAAACCGCCATGTTCTTTAGACTGAACTGTCGCGCTTCTCGTTGCGTCACACCTCAACCCGCCTCAAAGCCAACGCTGATTGGACGTTCGTTTGGTGAACGGCTCCAAATTTTCTTTAACGGAGAGTCTCCAGACTGATCTGCGAGTGAAATCTTGAAAGCTCGCGAGATCAGGATGGTCTCACCAGGCTACATTGTGCTACGATCACAGCAAATGATCAAAAGCTCTTGCAGATGCTGACGCTCCACATCGATCAATCAGAGAAGCTGATCTGGCAGCTGGCAGGCAGATGGACACAGAGCTGCTCATGCAGAGTTGGCAGCATCAGGCTGTCAGAAATCTACGTTTATAAAAATATGAGGAGGCTCAAACTCTATTAGCTCCACATTAAAGAAGATTTCTGCTTCACTGCTTTTTGGTGTTTTTCAAGTGTATGGCGATCTGACCTTAAATAGTTTTTTTTGTACATGACTAAATGGATATATTTATTATATCTATTTGTCGGACAAAACTAGACGGATAAACTCAAATCTGACATCTTGGGCCTGCGTATTGACTATAGGTATGCTGGTCTGACGGGGTATGCTGACAGAACACCGGCCTGAGGTGCTGCTGCTGGGGATTCCCAGCGAAGGCGGGATGTGGTGATCTGTGCCACTCCGACAGCCAACTTATCCGGAAGGGATGAGAAGGTGCCACGTTTACCTGCTCACAAAGCTAGACAAGAGTTCACTGCGAATGGACAACAGCCGTCATGCTAGTCAGAAAGGAAACGGCTGCTGGGTCGCAGTCATGAACATGTTTTACTGGGAAACGTTAGGGATGCATCAGCACTGGGCTCTAAAACTGAAGGTCAGTTCCCCTCTAACAGAAAACCAAAGAAGACAGCAGGTGGAAATCTCCTGGTTAGATCTACCCGTCTGTAAGCAGAACTCTGCTGCTCTGAAAACCAAATAAGTAATGAAAACAGACCACAGGTTATGTTCAGCAACATCAAACAGGAGGAGGGCTGAAAGATCCTGATATTTTCCTTCTTTGTTGTAGAAACTTTCATTTAGATGTGAATAAAAAAATATAAAAACTACCAAGAATACAATTTTTGAAAGCAAAAAATGCAAATGAACTAGATGGAAAACTTTGAACCAATCTGGCTGGTTGATTTATCTCTATAAAGTGACCTGAGATGACATGATGTGAATTGGAGCTTTAGAAATAAAACAAATTAAATTAGTTTGATCAGCATTTGGCTTCAGATCAAGAAAACTGACTGCTTGGGACATAAAGAGAAAATATTCTTATTGAGGCGCCACAGAGCGAATCGGAGCAGATGGCATGTAAAGGGATCATTATGATGGACAGACGTACGGACGTTCAGCACAGAAAATGATCTGCCTGTCACTGTGTCTGGAGCCCTGCATCAGGCGGGCAATGTCCGTTTACTTGGAGAGGCGGGACACCTACCCGAGTCATTGCGTAAGTAGGAGGACATGGCAGGGATGAGGCAGGACTGGCTCAGCAGCTCGTGCAGCACGGCCGGCAGGGCAGAGCTGTTGGGGGATCTGCTGTCTGCTGAGGCCTCGGAGCTCAGACAGCAGCTGGAACCCGCTGGGTTGATGTAGCTGGCCAAGACCTGGTGGATGAAGCAAAGACCAGACATGGAACATTACATAAAGATGGATTGTTTCCTTTCAGCGAGAGCTATGAGGCGGTCTTTGGCCCTGCCCACACTGAGCTTTCAGGAACCAACACTTTACAGAAACGCAACGACTTTTCTGGGAAACAACTTTTGGTTATTTGCTTGAATCCATTTATTCGACTTATACTGATGAGATCAAACCTAAAATAGCAAAATATATTCTCAATATTTCTGATGTGGAGCAATAAATTCTTTGCACTGATGGTATTTTTCACTCGTTAGAACAGACTGACCTAGACTGACATTGATTCTGATTCATTTGAAAGTATAAATATATTTAGGATTATGAACCACACATTTACAGGTATGGATCCACCTGCCCTGATCCAGCTGTTATACTTCTAACCAGTTGGTGGCAGTAACCTGAAAGTTACTCTCCCACAACATTTAACTAAAGATATGAAGGAGAGAGAAAAGGAGGCCGTTTCTCAATATGCGTACTTGTGTGTTCTCGTATCTTCGTGAAACATCATCAGCATCAGCTCTGTTCTAATTCAAAGTAACCAAAGATAGAAAATGGACTCTCCCCGAGTCCATACTTCCTATTCCTGCTCTCCCAGAGTCCATTCTTCCTGTTCCTGCTCTCCCCGAGTCCGTACTTCCTATTCCTGCTCTCCCAGAGTCCATTCTTCCTGTTCCTGCTCTCCCCGAGTCCGTACTTCCTATTCCTGCTCTCCCCGAGTCCGTACTTCCTATTCCTGCTCTCCCAGAGTCCATACTTCCAGTTCCAGCTCTCCCGAGTCCGTACTTCCTGTTTCTGCTCTCCCAGAGTCCGTAAATCCTGTTCCTTCTCTCCCCATACTGCTGTTCTTGTGAATTGAAAAACTGTCAGAATCTTCGCATCATTCATTCGTTTTAATATTGAAAACAAAAAAGATATAAAAAATTGGAGAAAGACACAAATTTTCTTAGAATTTGTTTCCAAACCAAAATGAGAAGGGATAAGGACCATTACGGTCACTCATGAATAGAAACATGAAAACATTTACAAACTTTTTTTTTTTTTTTTTTAAAGTTGCCTCTTCTGTCGTATCTTAATCTTTTTCTCATCAAAATGCGAGAGATTTCAAATGGAAAAATCAGATAACGAGCCTTATTCGTTTTTTTCACTTAGGTTTCAAAAACAAATACTGAGAAATCTTGCTTTAGCTTTTTCAATTTAAAAAATAAATCAAAATACCGAATGATGCAGAGATTAAACTGAACCATTGATGGAACATTATGCTGCGCATGCATTGAAAACATTCTACCAAAGACATTTTTAGTCTCTTTTTGTTTAAAGGTGACTGGTGAACAACTTCAAGGTGCATTACTGCCTCCCAAAGGAGGTGACAGCTCCATCCAGAGCTGTAGTTTCTTCCTTGGATTTTTTGCTAAATTGTGACATCTAAACCTGCATTCTTTCAGACAAACATCCAAGGTGACGTTTATGCATGACATGATAAATACTAATCTTCAATGTATTTCCTATTTATGGACTTCCATTAACTCATTCAGACGCCTGCATCATTACTGACAGATATCCTGCGCCATAAAAAGGCTGCAGCTGCACCCTGTGGGACATGGAATGTCTGATTATAGATGCCATCAAAAGCACACACATCAGCAGAGCGTCCTCACCTGAAGTAAACAGGTGACATGTTCTTCCTCCAGTCGCTGCTTGGTGAGGGCCTGTTCCACATCCCAGCCTGACGCTGTAGATCCAGTACCAAAGCCGGTTCCTTTAGCCCAGTAGAGTTGCTGCTCCTCGCTGGTCCCACCGCTGTGACCACTGGACAACTGCGTCTGCAAACACAAACACTTATAATAAGCACATCAGCAGGTCAGTAAAATCATCTGAATTAATATTTTGGTTCCTTGGATAGGAGAAAAGTCCGTCTCTGTGAGGACTGCCTCTTTTTGTTTGCTAACCCTTGATTAGCATTAGCATCTACTGCTGTCCACCTTTTTACTTTTCTTTTCGGGTAGGGAGAAGATGCTGTTCCTCAGCTCTTACTAGGATCTGGTAACGCCTGAGTAGTTAGACCAAGTCTCAGACCAAATAATGGACCAAAAAATATTGTTGGTGCAGAATCCTCTCGTCAACTTTTCTACCGTATCCAGAAGTATTTATATATCTTAGAACTGTCAAAAATGATAAGAAATCATTTATATATTTTAACTTAATTAAAGAATTTGTCGTAATGAAAAATTAGTAGCTTTGACCTTTAGATAGAGACCATCATTCATTTATAGCTGAATGTGGGTGTGTAGCGGGCTGAGCCTGAGGTGGAGCATTTCTTTTTTACGTTAACCTTAACCCTTTATGGGGCACTCAGTGAGATCCTTTCAAACTAATAGTGTTTTTGAAATCCAGGACATGACCTTATTACCTTTGTAACATTAAAAAAATATGGACATCTTGATGGCAAAAATGAATGTCAATGTAAAAACAAGAAACGCCAACCTGCCTGAATATAGTAAGAGAAATAATAAAAGAGCTTCTATAAGAAATTCATGAAAACAATCTGAGGGTGAAAGAAACCCATTTATTTTGGTCCAACATAACCTTAGAGGCATTAATGTTGATACTGGTGCTTATATTTAGTTTATAAACCTAAATGTAATTGTTAACTAGGCTGATTAACTTTTTAACTTTTCAATGAGCCTTTTACATTTCTTTCTTGACTTGTTAACTGTTTTTTCCAAGTTAATTTCCAGTAGGTTATATATCATTCAAGGGCTCATCTAATTGGTCTAATGACAAAATAAGATGTGCAGCCATGTAGCAGCATCTTTGCTGAATGGCTGGATATAGATCTTGTGCTTCTAGACCTCACTGAAAGACAAGGAGGGGGGGCTCCATTTGTAAGGGGGATGCAAGTGATCAAAAAGGCTAACTTGTCATATAAAGGGATAAGGTGCAGCCAAGATCCATAAAGCTGCTGATACGTTTGAGCATCGTAAAAATAAATATATAAAAATTAATATTTTAGCCGTACGTCCTTTCAGTTTTTAGGTGTCCATACAGCCGTATGGATTCTATGCAATGCTTTAAAAAGAAGCAAATATTTGTTATTGCCATGAAGAGCCGAGGCGTGCTAACCAGATCCATGGTGCTAACAGATATTCCTCACTCTGCCTGAGTCCTGGCCCTACCTCAGAGGCGCTGCCGTTGGTGTTGGGGTTACGGGGAGCGTGGTGGCTGAGAGCTGATAAACAGGCCAGGATCAGGTGGATGGCGCCAATCTCCAGCGCCATGCGGCGCAGCAGCACTCCATCATCAGTGGTCAAAGGCGTGCTGCTGAACAGAGCTCGAAGGACATGGAACGGCAGCGTGGGCAAGACGTTAGCAGAAGGAGACTGCAGGATGTGACCTGGGAGAATATGGGAACAGTTTACAGAACAGTCAGTAAACTATGCACAATGCTGCGCTTCATTAGACAGATGAAGAGTTTGAACTTTCTGAGCTATCTCTATAGTTATGCTGCTATAGGACAAGACTGCTGGAGGACAAAGGGACCCTTTTTTCATCATTCTGCTTCATTCTATCTCTATTCTCCCACTCTGCAGAATCTGTTCAATCTCTAACGTTCTGCTCTCTCTGCTTTTCTCATAGTAGCTTCATCTGGTCTGTTCCTGTTTGGATGTGACTCGTTCTGCTGGAGGTTTCTTTCTGTTAAAAGGCAGTTTTTCCTCTCCACTTTCACTATAAGCATGCTTAGTGTGAGGGATTGCCTTTGAGTCAATGAGTTGATGCAATCAGCTGGTTTTTCTTCGATAGAAAACTTTGAATCAATCTGACTGGATGATCTGGTTAAATAGTAACATAGCCTTGAGATGACATTTGTTGTGAATTGGCGTTATATAAATAAACTGAATTCAATTAAACTCAACGCAGAGAGTTAAAGCTTTAAATTCAATGCTGTTTCTGACATTTTGAATTGAAAAACCTCCCTGGACTGGAAATGATACATCTTCAAATTTTAAAACAAAATGGACTGTTGTTCTTTCTTTTTTCAACTCTTTCGGAACACATGAAGAAGGTGTTTTCAGACTTACTGCCTTCTCCGTCGTCGGTGACGCCCAGCACCAGGCGCAGCAGACACTGTGCGTGCTTCCTCTCCTTGAGCAGCACCTCGGCGTACCCCGGGAGGCGCAGGAACAAGCCGAATGCTGCCAGCGAGTGGGCGGGGATGGGGGACATGGACTGAACAGAGGAGGAGGATGAAGAGGAGGACGACTGAGACTGCTGCTTGTTAACGGGAGGCGGCTCTGCAGCGACAGACTCCGGGGCTTCGTACACCAGCTCGCCCGACTGCTCGATGGTCACCCACTCAAACTGGTCGCTGTCCTTGGGTTTCTCCTGGGTGGACGCTGGGATCAATGGAGCGCTTACCTGTGGGAAGCATCCAGCCGGACAGAGACAGAGCAACCGAGTCGTCACACTCATCACACAGTCTTCACAATGGTTAATTTATGCAAAGAAGGTTGGCGTAGGCCCCCCACCTGCTGGATGACATCCGGGTAGAGCATTGGCAGCCTCTCTGCAATCAGGGCCAGCCCCCCCATCCCAGCGAAGACCTGCAGCGGTGACTGGATGGGGCTGGTCTCCAGCAGGGACTCGTCTGTCGCAGCGTCCAGACATTCGTCGCCGGCCATCATGGGTTCGTCTTCAGGACAGCTGCTGAGCATGTCACAGTGGTCCACTGAGGAGACACAAGAGAGGAGGCGTCTTTAAAAACAGGCACTATGAGAAGCAACAGCATGGCTTCTACCTTCCCGCTCACAGAACGGCTCATCAATCAGAGGAAGTTTTTATTGTTAAATCTAAAGTTAAGATCTAAGAGTTCCTGATTGTTCAGGGTTTCTAAAAACACTGAATTACCAGTTTATTAACTGCCACAGAACTTTTGAACTTTGTTTAGGTTACAGTGAAAAAGGAAAAAAAGGAGGTAGGAGGCAGAATAATTCAAGATGGCGGAATGTAATTGCAAAGTGTTCAGCCTTTATCAGCCTTAAAAAGTTGTTTCCTGGAAGATAATAACTGGCTTTTTGATTCGTGTCAAACGCAGCTAAATGAGTGACAGACACGTTTTTCTGTTAGCCTGCAGAAAGCGTAAAACTTTGTCTTATTCAGTTTTCTGATGGTTAAGTCCGCTCATATTCAGAATTCAAACTTCTTAAATTACTTTAAATATGAAATTATTCCATCCTGTTCAATAAATGATCAGTGTTTTTAATTCAGAGTAATTTTCATTTGAATGTGCTAGTCCAGTTATTTTTTTTTTTTACTGATTGACGCTGAATTCATTAAATCACCTCAAACGTATTAGTTTTAGGTATAAATAATGATCCATTGACTATTGCTTGCTAATCGGACTTTAAAAGTGAGGGTTAGCGTTTACCAGGAAGGAAAAAAATATATATTTTAGTGAACTCTAACATCAGCACTGAAGATTTCTTCACAAAAATCTGAAAAGTCAAAGGTTCTGTGCTCTGAGTGGGCGGGGCCTTTGTCACCTTTCTCGGTGCGGAGCCTCTTGAAGGAGTCGGTCTTTGAAAGGCCAGGGTCGGAGATAACCTTGGAGCCCAGTTTGACGGTGAGGTTTATGGACTGGTAGCCCTGCGGCAGCTTGCACTCATACAGGAGAGTCAGCAGCTGAGCCAGGGTCATCTCAGGGGGGAGGGGCTGACCTGCAAACAGAGGACAGAGCAGAGCGGGCCTCAGACGTCAGCTCTGAATGCTGTCGGTCCCACCTGGTGAGCCGCCGTACCTGGCAGCAGCTTGTGGTAAAGATGGAAGACGGGAACGCTGATGGTTTTGGCTGAAGGGTCCACACCGGACGAAGCAGCCAGCTTGTCGCTCACGATGCGGCCCCTTCTTGACGGGGGTCGGGGAGGGGTCAGGAGCGCTCGTTTGGACTGGGACTTTAGACCTAGAGGTAGGAAAAAGTTTTAAACTTCATGGTTACTTCCTCGTTGCTACAAAACCAGCTTCCCACCGACAAACATGGAGAGTTAGAGCGAGAAGAAGGCTACTCTGAACTTATCAGGCTAAAACCATTAAACTCTTTATACTGGGCGACAGTGGTGTCGCATGCAGGAGTTTGCCCTGCAATCAGACAGCTGTCGGTTCAAGCCCGGCTTTAACTGTGTGTCCTTGGGCAAGGCACTTCCCCCACATTGCCTACTGATGGCGGAGCTCTGTTCAAGTCCTCTTGAACAATAATGTAAATCAAGATATATGTCTGACCAGATTCCCTTTAATGAGAGGAAAAATGCATTTTTGCACATTTGGCATTTTGCCAAAATCCCATTTCCGCTCATCACACTGCCCACTAAAACCTTTGTGGAACCAATACGCTCCCTCTGACCCCAGCCGCTGGTTTGGGGGTCAGCGGGAGGAACGGATGAGCACCTGTGGGAGTGGCTACGCTCCCTCAGTCAGAGGAGGAGCTGAATACCTGAGGCCACCACGACGCTGTAGTTATCCTGGAAGCCGTTGTCCGCCTTCATCTTCTCCTTCTCCTCATGATTCTTCTTCTCCTTGTCCTCCTTCTGCTCGCTGATCAGTTTGGCTGTGATGCTGGGAGTGTCTGCATGGATGGGAACGAAAAGAACGAAACGAGTCACGTTTGTCCTGATCTTCTTCCACAGATCAACCAGGTCAGAACCATTTGTTCCAAGAGAAGAAATGACATCATAAAGAAAAACTACACAACAATGAAGGACGGCTCTAATGCCACCTTCACACCAAACGCAACTGAAGCAGCTAGTTTTAAATGCAAAGTTAATAGTTGACGCGCATCAAGGCTCAGCAGCATGTTTTTAGCAGCTGAAGCAGCGCCTCATGAGCTTCTGAGCATCTGAGGCATGTGGCGCGCTTCAGAAGCAGCAGCTGCTGGAGTTGGAAAAATTTAACTGTTTCTGGACGCGCTAACATCAACCAATCAGAGAAGCTGATCTGGGAGCTGGCAGGGAGACAGACACAGCACTGCTGATGCAGAGCGCTATGATCACTCCTCTGAAACAGTTTATTAACGCCTAAATTAACTTGTTGAAACCTGTTGGCAATATTTAAAGGCAGGATTGTAATCTGGATGAACTGACTGCACAGACCCTGTTTTCCTGGATTTCCTCACTTAAAAACATATTAAAAATACTTTTTACCCACTGATAACAGCAAATCTAGCAAAGCTGCTCTCTGCATTGAACACAGGAGCAGCAGAAGCATCAGATGCATCTGGACACACTTTACTGGACGTCTGACCTTAATGTGGACAAACATCAGCAATGAAGGAGCAGAAGCTTCTTTGCTGCTCAAATCGCTTTCACTGTGAAAGTAGCATAAATGCCACTTTGTTTTCTCCTCCCAAGGAGACAGGCGGTTTGTGAATCTGTAAAAGCAAACATTTCAAAAGCTGCTTATGAATAGAGTGGCGGTGAAATCCTCAGTCTGCTTTCAAACCAACGGAGCAGACTGAGAACGAGGCCTGAACAGACTGGGAATGATGAGGATCCTCATCTTCTATTTTCTGATCTCTGTGTAGGGCTGGGTACCGAACTTTGGTTCTTTTATGGTACCGACCGAAATGCTTCGGTTCTACAGAGTATCGAAACATGCCTCGTCTTTCGGTACCAAGTTTCGGTGATTGGCTGTAACCCTTAACGTGATTGCGTCATCCAGGAAAAATACACAGGTGGTCCCGCCTACAGCCAGGGTTCATGTGTATCTGTTGTGAACTGGTTGCGAACGTCGTGGAACCCCTTTAAAATGCCCCCCAGGTCAAAAGTGTGGCTTCACTTTATTAAGACTGATGCCAATAGTGCACAATGCAATACATCGTGCACGGAAACAATTTAAGAGCAGAAAGTTGCTCGGTGTTTGACTGCAAGAAGAGCGGACCGCAGCCGGCGCCACCATCCTCCTCTCAGCAGCCCGTGGGCAGAGCAAAGCCAGAGCGGAGTAATGCTGTAATAATGTAATCATGCTGCAATTTCACACTGGACGCAGCAGGAGAAGCAAAATCACGTCTGCTGCTTCCTTTTTTGCTGCTTGTACCAGTTTCTGACGCGCGGCTGAAGAAGCTTTGCTGCTCCGGCTGCGCGGTGCAAAAGTGGGTCTGACGCGCGTTGGCCGGAGCTACTCTATCCTTTATTTGCCTTGCAGCTATATTTGCTGTGATCAGTGGGAATAAAGTAGTTTTATTATGTTTTTAAGTGGGAAAATCCACCTGAAAACTTAATCAGTGCAGTCAGTTCATCCTGCCTTCCAATATTTCTGTCGGAGCCGCTCAGACCCCCACATACCATGGGTGCGCTGTCAATAGGATCCCATTCAACGGGCTTGTTTGTCAGACATGGTAATTTTTCTAAAGGAAAACTGCTAAGTAAAAAGGTCCTCACAATGTAACAGTGAATATTAGACACTGAATTTTTTTTTTTTTTTTTATGTAAGAGGAAAAATGTAAATGGAAAAATCAGAGCTTAAAATAAAACTCAAGATTTGTACTTTTTTATGTTGTGTAATTTTCTTTTTCTTCGAATTGATATTATAAAACTGGTATCGAAAAAAGTATCGTTCAGGAACCGGTATCGAAGTGAAGGTATCGGTATTGGTACCGGAACCGAACATTTTTTAACAATACCCAGCCCTATCTCTGTGCCTTAAAAAAATGACCGAAGCAATCAAAGCAATCCTCATTAGGCTGCAGAGCAGAACAGGAATTTGTCGTTTTTAATTGAAATTATCTTCAGCTAATCCGGACATCCAGCTGATTGCGATTTTAAAGCAGTTAGTGTGAAGATGAAGGAGCAGAATCTAATATTAGCTGGATTGTTTTAGTTTCAACGCCGTTTCTGACATTTTGAAATGAAAAAGCTTCCTGGATGGAAGGCAAAACGTCTTCAAACTTGGAAACAAAGTTCAGTGGATTGTCTTAACTTTTTTGGAATGACTATGACCTGGAAGACTGAGAATCTTCACCAGCATATTGTCTTAGTAACCCGTCGTGAATCACCTCCAACCAAAGCGAACAGACACCTACCAGACACGCGGTCCAGGACCTCTGCTAGCGTGGTGGAGATGGGCAGATGCAGGGTGCGGTACTTGTGGCCTGCTCCATACATGGGGTGTTGGATCATGTGGCTGGTGGCATTGATGCGACCTTTGTACAACTAAGAGAGAGAAGGACACGTTATAGAGCAGAGATCTTAGACTCGCCATGAAGCCCCAGGGGAGCAGAGCCACCTGGAGCTAAATGCTAGACTGCTTGGGTCTTCAGAGATGGTGAGAAGGCAGAGGACCCGCTACATGCTGTCATTTAGAGACTGGAGCTGGACTGAATAAGGCTGCAGGGCTCCCGCCAACCACCATCAATCTGTACTCCATTGCTCTGGCCTTTTCAGCTAGGTTTACTACACTGATTTCTATCTATTCCCTGGATTGCCTGAAACAAGTGAATCCACCGTCTACCCAGCTGGTAACTCCCCCACTCCCACAGAGATGCACAGTAACAATGCCTACATCAGTTTACTGGCTGCAGGAAGACGTTTCACAGGTAATTTCAGTATATCATTCCCTCTAGACTGCAGATATTTTAGTTTTGATCTCTGGTAAAGAAAAAAAGAAATCTATATGGAGAAGGAATAGATGGACCCCAGGAGGAGGAAGGAAATGCTGCCCCCTGGTGTTCACATCTGAACAGCACATGGAACAGTGGAAGCGGCTGTCATGTTTAAGGAGGAGGTTACTGACCGGACAAGGAGACTGGAGGAAGACGGTGACCTTCTCATCCTCCAGCATGAGCTGCAGGAAAAGTCTCCGGATGAAGCCTGAGATGTTTCTGGAGATGGGAACGTTGGCCCTTTGAGGGGCGGACTGGAAGAGCTCACAGAGGACCTGCAGACAGAAACACGGTGGGAACAGGGATTAGCCAAGCTCAGAAGGATCTGGGAGGGCCTCTGGAGGAGCCTCTGGCAAAGCCCTGTACAGGGACTTTTGAGGCAACGGGGAGCCAGAAGGTACAGCGTTAAATACGAGCCAGAAGTTCAGCTTGATCTTTATGTTCAGAGATTCTGGCTGCATGGAAAGGAGGGGGAATAAAGAGGCACAGACCTGCGCCATGAGCCGCTGGTTGCTAGGGTGACAGGAGATGCACTGGAGGAAGAAGGCCACGGTTGCGTTTTCCAGAGCCGTCCTCTGCTGCGTGGTGAGGCCTCCTGATTGGGCAGAAGACGGCTGGGAGAAGTGAGACCCTGAATACGGAGCCGACCCGGAGCCCAGAGGCTGACCGGAGGCGGCGCTGGCGCTGGAGTGGCACAGCAGGAAGAGCAGAGCCGTCCACAGGGGGTAGACCTCGGGCCCGCCCAGCCAGTCCTTCATGGCGTGGCTGTTGCCGACCTCGGTGAGGAAGCGCAGCACAGGCGCTGCCAGCTCCGCGGCCAGGGCCGGCCGCCCATGCGGGGACGAGCACGGCGAGTGATAGTGGTGATGGTGGGGGCGCCTCTCGGCCTGAGCGGCGGGCAGAGGGAGGTCGGTGCTGACCAACAGTCCCACGCAGAACTGCACCAAGCTGCGGACCAGCAGCGAGGGAAGGCCTGAGTCCAGCAGCTGCTCTATGGCTCCAGGGGACTGGGAGGCGGCAGCCAGGGTGGTCAGCTGCGACTCGGACAGGTTGACCGGCGGCCTTGTGTGCTTGGAGTCGTCCGTCAGTCCCGCAGCGTTGGCGTGAGCGTCGTGCTGCTTTTTTCCGTCGTCCGTCATGGCCAGGCGGCGCTGCTGGGCCTGAGAGTGGCTGGCTGTGGGCCCAGAGACGATCTTCATCCAGGACATGAGCAGGGTGAAGTAGCTGGGATGGATGTGGCACATGGAGCACAGCAGGCTGTCCACCGCCTTCTTCAGCACCAGGTTGCACGGCAGCGACATGGACCAGTTATACAGCAGCCTGGAGGGAAGAGCGGCAAAAACAATCAGCTGTCAGGAGCATAGAGCGCTAACCTGGCTGCTGTGAGAACTGAACCCACTCAAAGAGCTCTCTGTTGAGCAGGCCGGGAAGGTCGTAGTCCACAGGCAGCTCGAAGCTGTGCCACAAGATGGCCGCCACGCAGTGCAGATGGGAGGGGGACGGCATGAGCAGTCCATATTCCCTGGAGGAGGAACCAGAAGAAGCGTACCCCGACGGAGCGCTCCTTTTATGAGCGGCCACTCTGGCCGAGTCGTAGACCCAGTGGAGGAGAGCCTGGATCCTGGAAGAGAAGCAGCCAGAAGGTCTTACAGTCGCTCAGACCACAGTGCAGCCAGCCGGCGCTCTCCTTACCGGTCTTTGGTTCCGGGGTCCTGCGTGGTCCCCAGCTGGTACAGGATGTCGATGGTGGAGTCGGAGGAAAGGCCGTTCAGCCGTCCAAACAGCAGCGGACTGTTCAGATCTGTCAGAAACAGGCAGACACAAAAACTGGATCAGCAGAACCGTCTGTTGCCATGAAGAGCTTTCTGTGGCTGGACACACGTTCCCCAGAAAGGGACCAACAGTCCGTCTACACTGGAGGAACTGGTCCAAACCGATTCAGTGACACCAGATGAAACAGAATCAGGCAGCCAATAGGAGCAGCGGACGCTTCCTGACTGAACCTGGCCAATCAGAGCTCCCTTCTGGAGCAACCCTGAAAACCTCACTGAAGCTTTGCTAGCTTGTAGCCATTAGCAGGAACCAGAGCTTTAAAGGAAAAGTCCGGTCATATTCAGAATTCAAACTTCTGAAAGTACTTAAATTTGAAATTAATAAATGCTAGGAGGGGATGCAGGGGATAACTGATGCTCCGTAATGCCCAGGAAATGATGTGCATCATTTCCTGGGCATTACGCTGCCGTTCATTATGCATAAGTTATTCTGTCGTTGGACAGAAGTTCTGGACTCATTATGAATACGCCATGTAAGCGCCCAAAATTGAAAAAAACACATAGAAAGTTCAGCGTATGCAAGAGTTTAGGGAGATTCTAGGACATCAGGCATAAGCTGGATACATCAGCAAGGTGTGACAGGGCCCTCAGATTTAATGAAGCCATCCTTTTTTCACAGAGTACAAGGGAAACTCAGGTTTTCCAAAGTGACTGCTTTATCAACTATTCCTTTATTGTTCCTAGATCAGGGGTCTTCAACATTTTGCAGGATAAGGACCCCCAAACTGATTGCGAGATGGAGCGGGGACCCCCTAATTATATATATTGTATGAAATAGTTGTCATGATTGAATGAATTATGTTTATGTCCACTAGGTGGCAAGCATGAGTTAACGTGAATGTATAAATGTAGAGAATGGAACAATAGAAGGAGATGTGACACACCTGTGAACAAGCTGTGTAAACAGACCTCTAAAAGATGCTTCAATAAAAGTATCTGAGCATTATACAACGTCTGGTCTTTATCAAGCACGAATACGACATGGTGTCAGGAGTGAACTAAGAGCCGACCATGGAGCTTAAACCACCGGAGAGCTTGAAGCTGACGGGAAACGTTGATGAGAATTGGCGTGTTTTCAAACAACGCTTTCAACTGTATGTCGCCGCAATGGGATTGGAGACAAAGCCGGAACCAAGAAAGGTAGCGATGTTGCTGACCATAGCGGGAGCGCAGGCTTTGGAAGTCTACAACACATTTGTGTTTGATGAAGCAGAAGACAAAGACAAGTTGGATGTTGTGCTGAGTAAATTTGATGCTCACTGTTCACCCAAGAAGAATGAATGCTATGAGAGATATGTTTTTCGTTCCCGAATGCAGACCCAGCATGAACCCTTCGATAACTTTCTAACAGATTTGAAAGTAAAAGCTCAGTCATGCAATTTTGGCCTGCTGAAGGACTCTATGGTCAGAGATCAGATCGTCTTTGGAGTACGTGATGGGAAGCTCAGAGAAAGACTGCTGAGAGAAGTGGAACTGACCCTGGAAACAGCTGTAAAGATGTGCCGGGCAAGCGAACTGTCTCTACAGCAAGTGAGGACATTTTCTGAACTTTCAACAGGAACTACTTCACAGTTCAGTGACGGAGCAGTGGCAGTGGGAGCGGTGTCCTGCCAGAAGAAACGCCATGCTCAGACGAGGCAGCTGCAAGAGGAAGCCATTATCAACTGTAAGCGCTGTGGTTCACGGCATAAAGTGAGACAATGTCCTGCTTATGGTAAGCAGTGTTTGAATTGCCGTGGAAAGAATCATTTTGCAAAACAATGCTTTATGAAGAGGAAAGAAGAAAAGAGGAGGAATCGTGTAAACTTAGTAGATGAAACTGACTTAAGTGACACATTCTTTATTGGTGTTGTGAATTGTGAAAATGAGTCAGAAAAAGTGCAGTGTGTTGGCAGAGATGATAAATGGACAATTCCTTTGTTGATCAATGGAACTACAATTAAGTTCAGATTGGATACAGGTGCTAAGGCTAATCTCATAAGCATGTCTGATATTAAAAAAATGCAAGTGAAACCTCACATAAAAGAAGTTAAGTCGGGCCTAAGAGACTATAATGGACAATCAATTGAGTGCATTGGCACATGTGAGCTGCATATGACTGTTAAAGGAACAAAACATCTTGTGTTCTTCTCAGTTGTAAAAGAGGATCGTGAGTCACTTTTAGGTGATGAATCCTGTGAAAAACTTGGACTGGTGAAAAGAGTCTATCACATAAACACTGAATTGACTGAACCTAATAACCTTGTTGATGCCATGATTCAAGAATATGAGGATGTTTTTCAAGGATTAGGTGCTGTACCCTGCACATACCAGATCCAGCTGAGAGAGGGCGCTCAGCCTGTTGTGCATGCTGCACGTCGTATTCCAGTACCACTGCGAGAGGGGTTGAAAAATGAGTTGGACAGAATGACTAAGTTGGGAGTCATTCAGAAAGTGGAAGAGCCCACTGATTGGGTTAATTCCATAGTGATTACCAAGAAAAAGAATGGAGAATTAAGAATATGTATGGATCCAAAAGATCTGAATGAGAACATCAGGAGAGAACATTATCAAATACCCACTCGAGAGGAAATAATCAGTGAGATGGCTGGAGCAAGTTATTTTACCAAGTTGGATGCAGCACAAGGGTTTTGGCAAGTAAAGTTAGATGAAAGCAGTACCAAGTATTGTACTTTTAACACCCCTTTTGGAAGATACTGTTTTCTAAGACTTCCTTTCGGAATAAAATCGGCACCAGAAATATTCCATAGAGCGATGGAGCGGATCATCGAAGGCTTGGAGGGAGTGAGAGTCTACATTGATGACATCATCATCTGGGGATCAACAGCTCAAGAACACAATGACAGATTGAGACGCGTCATGGAGCGCATACGGAAAAATGGACTGAAGCTCAATAAAAATAAATGTGAGTTTAGTGTCAAAGAAGTTATGTTTCTCGGAGACAAACTGTCTGCCCAAGGTGTTCAACCAGATGAAGATAAGATAAAAGCCATCTTGAAGATGCCACAGCCTGTCGACAAAACAGGTGTTTTGCGCTTATAGGAAAATTCATTCCCAATCTGAGTGCAAAGATGACAAACATTCGCAGACTCTTGTACAATGATAATCAATTCCAGTGGACAGAAGTTCATGAACAAGAGTGGAAGGAACTGAAAAAATATTTGACTACAGAACCAGTACTTACCTTTTACGATCCATCTAAGAAAATTAAACTGTCTACAGATGCCTCAAAAGATGGACTTGGAGCAGTTCTTCTTCAAGCTGAAGATGAACAATGGAAGCCTGTGGCTTATGCGTCCAGAGCCATGACCAAAGCTGAATGCAGATACGCTCAAATAGAAAAAGAATGCTTGGGGCTGGCTTATGGACTAGAAAGGTTTCATAACTATGTGTACGGTCTACCATCTTTTGTAGCTGAAACAGATCACCGACCCTTGGTTGCCATCAGGAAAAAACATCTGAATGAGATGTCACCAAGGATTCAGAGACTTATGATGAAGATGCAAAGGTATGATTTTACACTGATTTACACTCCAGGAAAACATCTGATTCTTGCTGATGCTATGTCTAGAGCTCCTATAGACAATGGGGTGAGTTCAACTGAAGAGAATATTCAGCGTCATGTGAACATGGTGTCCACTGTGTTGCCTGTGTCAGATAGCAAGTTGAAGCAAATAGTTGAGGCAACAGCTAAAGACACAGAGTTACAGTTGGTCATGCAGAATTTGGATGAAGGCTGGCCAATAGGCTCATGTTCACAGTTTTTCAAAGTTAAAGCTGATCTAAGTGTTGTGAATGGACTGTTACTGAAAAACAACAGAATTGTGATTCCACAAGTATTAAGACAGGATATTCTACAACGGATACATGAGGGTCACCTAGGCATTGAAAAATGTAAAAGAAGAGCTAGAGAATCTGTTTTCTGGCCTGGACTAAATAAGGACATTGAGACCCTAATCAGTAAATGTGAAACATGTCAGACATTTAGAAATAAACAGAGTAAAGAACCTATGATAATGACTGACATTCCAACATCACCATGGCTGAAAGTAGGACTGGATTTGTTCCATTTTAAAGGAAAGAACTATTTAGTGATCATTGATTACTTTTCGAACTATCCTGAAATGGCTCTATTAGCTAATATGTCATCAAACTGTGTCATAACACATGCTAAATCAATCTTTGCAAGACATGGCATTCCACATATTGTGGTTAGTGACAATGGACCATGTTTTAGTAGCAGAGAATGGCAAGAGTTTACAGAACATTATGACTTTAAACATGTAACATCAAGTCCACATTACGCACAGTCGAATGGAAAAGCGGAAAAAGGAGTTCATATTCTTAAGCAACTTCTGAAGAAAGCTGCAGATAGTAACTCTGACCCATATTTAGCTTTATTAAGCTACAGATCTTCACCTTTGCAATGTGGATTTTCACCTGCTGAACTCTTGATGAATCGAAAGATTCGTACAACTTTGCCAAGTTATGATAGTAATGAACAAAGTGCAAAGAAATCATCAAAGTTGGAGCACAAGTTACGAAAGCAGAAAGTAAAACAAAAGTCATATTATGACAGATCAACTAAGATTCTACCTCCACTGTCATACAAGGATCCTGTAAGGATTCAGGATGATGAGGGATGGAATACTAAAGCAACTATTCTGCAGGAAGTAGCTCCACGTTCATTTGAAGTAAAAACTGAAGATGGACAAGTTCTGAGACGAAATCGGCGCAGTTTGTTAAAAACTCCATTAGAGCCTGTTGTTGAGTCAAGTGAAGTTTCTAAGGACTCCCAGAGTAGTATTATGACTGAAACACCTACGACTGAAACACCCTGTGACAGTCTTGGGAACAACCTACCTGTCTTAAGAAGATCTACCAGAGTGGTGAAAAAACCTGACAGAATGAACTTGTAAAAAAAAAAAAAAAAAAAAAAAAAAAAAAAAAAAAAAAAAAAAAAAAAATGAAAGTTGAAATGGCTATTTTGTAATTGATGTTTTGAATGTGTTAAGTATAGCTATGTGGTAACTTTCATGCAATGTATGTTGTTTTTTTGATAGGATTCTTTTTGTAACAATCTTACTTTAAAGAAAGGAGGATGTCATGATTGAATGAATTATGTTTATGTCCACTAGGTGGCAAGCATGAGTTAACGTGAATGTATAAATGTAGAGAATGGAACAATAGAAGGAGATGTGACACACCTGTGAACAAGCTGTGTAAACAGACCTCTAAAAGATGCTTCAATAAAAGTATCTGAGCATTATACAACGTCTGGTCTTTATCAAGCACGAATACGACAATAGTGTTCTATCAAACTGGTCCTATAGTCACTCTATCACAGATGGAGTAATGTAACTAAAGTAATTTCTCCGTGGGATTATTAAAGTATCTCTGATTCTGATTCCTAGTTGGTGGGACAGGTGAATGAAACGGTTCCCAGCTTGAAAGAGCTCCTGTGTGTCTTTGAATGTGTGCATTGATGACTGAAAGACATCTTCTGCCTCCATTTATCTGTTTACTACAGTCTGTTGAATTCATGTTAATGCGGATTTAAAGACATTTCAGTTAGTGGAAAAAATTGCAGGGGGGAATAAAAAAAAAATCTAATCAACCAAAAGACACGGACCCTCTGTTGAAAACCTCCTTTCTATGAGATCAACTTTAGACTCATGTACTGGGAACTTTTATCGCTGCTCTGATGCATTTCTCATTTGAAACTGTATTTTTCTACTTCTCTTTATCCACACTGATGTGAATTAGAGCTGATTTTGCTAAAACGGTAAAAGCTGAATATTCATCAATCGGAGCAGCAATGCTGAAGAACCAGAGGTCGTTTCCAGCCGCTTTAACATCTCAAACACACGCTGGGACTCACTGGGAGGCTCTGTGCCTGAGGCCGCGCAGTTCCTCAGCAGGATGTGGATGAGTTTGAGGCCAATCCTGGTGGACTGCAGGCCTATTTTCACCAGGACAGCCTCGATGTTGGGAGAGTGCATGCCGCAGTAAGGAGACATGAGCAGTGCGGCGCAGGTCTGCAGCAGGTTGGCTGTGGGCGCCGCGGCGCTGGCCATCATGGCCTCCAGATCACCCACGTGGGTCAGGCAGTGGTGCAGGAGACGCAGCCACCCGATGCTGCAGGAAAACAAGGGACAGGATCATGGCATCGGCAGCCGCCTTGAACCCAGTGACCGGTTCATGAGGCGCCGCTTACCTGGTCTTTGAGACTTGGTCCTCGGAGGGCAGGAAGGGGTTGTTGACTGTGGCGGAGGACGTGTTACCGAACGCCGTCAGCCCCAAGAGCTTGATTTGAGACAAACCCAGGGTGCTGGCGTCCCGAGGCCGGTGGAGCCTCAGGCAGACGGCAGAGGCTACCTCTGCCTTCACCAGCTGGATCTTGATGTAGGTCAGGCCGCTGGTGATGACCGGTGTGGAGAGGGGCAGCATGTTGACGCCGTCTGCACTGATCTCCACAGAGACGGAGGAGGGGCACGCTGATTGGTGAAGGGAGGAGGAGGAACGATCAACCAGAGTTTCAATCCAAATAACCGTGTTTAGTCATGACAGGCTGATTCTACTCACTGGCTAAGGAAGCCAGGTGTGGCTGGATGTGGACCTCTTTGAGCAGCACAGCAGCAGGGAGGTGGATGGTGAGGTCACACCACGCCTCCTCTGGAAGGAAGATGTAGGACCAGGCTGCAGAGCGCGCCCGGCGGTGAGGCGGGGTCGCCTGGAGGAGGACCTCTGCCGGCTGGGCTGTGGGGCTGCTGGAGGTGATGGTGCCTGAAGGACGGATGGAGAAACGTGTAAACGGCGTCGACTTCTCAAAGCAAACAAGCTGGAGTCTGTTTCAATAAGCAGGTTTACTGAAAACTGAAATCAGGAAAACTGGAAGCTGTATTTCTTTTCTATATTAGTCTCTCATTCGAAGATAATGAAAAAAATCAGGACTGCCAAACTGGTCTCAGATTTTGGAAACTCTCCAAGCTGTGACTGCCTCAGTTATCCAGCTTTTCAAACTGCAGTCTATTGTAGGTGGCATACATTTCTATTTTGCTGCATGTTTTTGAAGTTTCCATCTCCTGAAAACTCCTCTCACTACACTGAATGCATATTTAATTATTACATACAGGCAGCTTTTATTTTGTTTTTATATGCTTCTGTGTCTCCAAGGAGGTTTTGAATTGGTAGTTTCATTTACCCCATTTACACTACACTTGAAAAACCGTGCCGAGACCGGTCCGAGCTCAGTAACTGAGATAACTTATTGTGTGTAAATGGAAAGCAAACTGAACTGAACAGAGCTAGACACAACTGGCTCGGTGCTCTGATAACAAGAGCGCATGAGCAGAACGCGTCATCTCCGTCTGGCTGCACATCCCGATTCACACTCCATTCCAGTAGTTGGCGGTAACGCCCCTCAGGAAGTTGCTTGCCAATCAACACAAAACAGAAGAACAACAACTATAAATAACAATGGAAATCTTCTCCACGCAACATTTTAAATAATGGCATTTTAAATAAGAACACCGAAGTACAGCAATAATAATCAAGATTAACTTTCTAAATGTGACGGGCGCCGCCATTTTGATTTGCTTGATTCCCTCCTTCTTCGTCTTCTTCTTCTTGTGTTTTATGGCGGTCAGAACCGAGCTCGGCCTGGTTAACTGATCCGAGCTGGGACCGGTCTCGGCATGGATCGGTTTGTAAATGGGGTAATTCTCCCTGTTTCAATAGCTTGCCATGAGGTTCAAAGCAGCGGACACTTCCTGAGTGAACCAGGCCTGGCCAATCAGAGCTCCCCTCTGGAGCCCTACTGAAAATGTCACTGAAGCTTTGCTAGCTTGTAGCCATTAGCAGGAACCAGAGCTTTAAAGGAAAAGTCCGGTCATATTCGGAATTCAAACTTCTGAAAGTACTTTAAATAATAATTTTATTTAGTTTAGAGTAATTTTCATTTGAATGTGCTTGAGGAGTTCTAGTTCACTGACTTTGGAAAGCTATTCTCTATTCTCATCTGTGTCGTCTGCCATCTTGCACGAAGTCCAATATGTATTTGTTTTACTGAATATGGTTTCAAACAAAATGACATTCTCCACATCTAGAGTAAACATTCTTGATTTCTGTAAATTAATTTCAGATCTTAATATTCCTTTTGTTACTGGTCAGCATTTGTTTTATTTTGACTATGAAGAAATGTTTTTTAGATATCACAAACACATTTTCAGTCAAGCTGATTAATGTCAAAACGGCCACCTAAAATGCATAAACATTTCTAAATACATAAAACTTAATTTTAACTAATAGAATTTGTTTTCTTTTTATTTTGTGAAATTCAGTTTCTGCTGCAAAAATGCTCAGCCTAGGAGTGTGATTTTCTTTAGGAAGAATCTTATTTTAGTGATCTACAAATGGATCAACAGAGAGTGTATTTAATAAATGTAAAAACTACCTGCCTGGGACTTCATATAAACGTACAGATTAACCCAAGCAAAAGTCTTCTCCATCTTCCTCTCCTTTGCAGCTGTAGCGCCGTTTCTCTTTGTTTTATACAAATTCTTTAGTTATTTATTTAATTTCTTCATTAAAATCTCTAGTTCCAGTGAGGTGAAATAGGCACTTCCTGTTGCTTGTTGTCATGGTGACTCGTAGAATCGGGGCTCCACTGATAATGGCTTTTCATACTTGTTACGCACGTGTTAAACTCTGGGCGGTTCTACTTAGAGTTTAACTAATTCATAGCAGCTTTAATGAAACTAAAAACTCAGTTTCCAATCTCAGGATAAATCAGAGTTGAGGATTAGAGTCAGAGTTTGTTAAACCTGCTTATTAAAAAGGAACCCAGGAAGCAGAGAAAGGCCTGGACCGTACCTAAGGGAGCGAAGTTGTGGAGTCCCTCAGCGTTGTCTGGCTCCGAGGTCATCACCCTGGCCTTCAGGTTACCGTCCACCGTTTTTCCAGGACCAGAGTCCAAGAACTTCATGATGGTGGACACCATGCTGCGCGCCGTGTTCACGATGGCTCTGGTGCTCGTCACCATGTTGTTACAGATCAACTGAACGCCACCTGCAGAGGGAAAACAAAGGTGTCCAAGTTTTCCTCCTTAAAAATCCTTTCGGGTGCTGCGAACATCCAGTTCACCCCCCCAAAAAGATCCCAGAGTCGGTTCAAAAAGTGGAAATGGGACAAAGATTGGACAAAAAGAGCTTCTGCAGCTTCTCCACTCCTCACTTCCCACTTACTAGGAACCAGAGACATCCTCTGCAAGGCAGGGGGTTAGGTTTCATTACTGAAACTTTTTCCCAATCCAGTTGAATTATATATACTGCTTTTATTCTGAAAGGGTTCTGTCAGGAAATGGGATGACAGAGGGAGGAGCAGGGTTGTGTGTTGGGATGTGAACTCTGCACGCCTGAGGACTTCACTACTTGGTCACATTAGCTTCCTCACGCCACCAGAGGGCACCATGGCAACAAGAGATCCAGATCTCTGGACCATCTGTCTCTAAGGGACTAAAACTAATGGAAAAATAAAAAAAACTGCTAAGCGAAATAAATAAAACTCTAACAGACGTTTGTTAAACGGTTAATTAAAGCTATAATCTGTTTGTTTCTGAGTGCGTCTTATGTTTTTATGAGCTGTGAGATACAAAAGGATTCAGCTGCACTTAAAGTTCTTTATTTTCTAATTTACATGTACTTAACTCAGAAATACAAAAACTGAAGTGTTTTGAATCCTGCTGCAAAAAAAGTAAAAACTAAAATTAGTTCTAGAAAGTATGAAAAAAGTAAAGTAAAAGGCATAATTGATCAAATAAAAGTGATAAATATAAACATCTAAAAATAAAATTCCAAAAAAAGTTAAACAATCCACTGGACTTTGTTCACTTCCCATCCAGGAAGCTTTTTTAATTCAAAATGTCAGAAATAGCTTTATAAGCTTTATACAGTGCATCAAAAACAAAGCCTTGCTTTTGTTTAGAAAACATGCAAATAGAAACGAACGAAAGGGTCCACCCCTTTGGAATGGGGGTCGTTTGGTTTCTTTGTTAGCCTGTAATACCTGAAACCTACTAAAACCAAAGGGAAGCACGAACAGAAACACATCAAAGATGTTCTTCAAATCTGTGGATACCCAATCTGGGCGTTTGTCAAATCAGTAAGGAAATCCAAAAGAGACGCAGCAGAAGATTAAAAGCAAAAAACAGCCCCATCCCATATGTTGCTGGAGTCTCTGAAGAACTCAAGGATTTCCTCCAAACACAAAATCCCAGTACATTTCAAATCAAACAGACCCTTAAACAGAGACTAGTGCATCCTAAGGTCAAAACACTCAGACCAAATCCAGTTCAATGCAGTGAGGAATGCTCTGATCTTTATATTGGAGAAACCAAACAACCTCTCCACAGACGCAAAGGCCAACAAATCCATCTAACGACCCCCCTTTCAGAGACATAGACAGGTATGTGGCATTGCAGGCTAACAAAGAAGTCAAACTACCCCCATTGCAAAGGGATGGACCCGTTTGTCTGGTTAAATTTGCATGTTTTCTAAGCAAAAACAAGGCTTTGTTGGGCTGCTGTATAAAAGCTGGAACTCAACACTATTTCTGACATTTTGAATTGAAAAATCTTCCTGGATGGGAAGAAAATTGGAAACAAAGTCCAGTGGATTGTTTTTTTTTTTTCTCTTTTTTGGAACGACTATGACCTGGATGACTGATCACTTCTCTAGAATACATAGTTCTATATCTCTACATTATTCCATGTACATGCAGCTTTATATATTTTAGTTTATCCCTCCAAATCAGTTGGGTTGACGAAAGATAAACCATTTCATGCTTTAAGATGCTAGAGGCGGAGCAGAAGGAGACGTGGAGCTCACCCACCCATGTCATGGAAGGCCTTGAGAGCTTCGCTGGTGTCCAGGACTCGCAGGATGAACCACAGCAGCGGCTCAGACAGCTGGCAGGTGGACAGAGACCCCTAGCATCAAACACAGCAGCCGCTTTAGGGACCTTCCTGCCGATTAAACGTCAGAGGGAGGCGGCGGCTCCTACCTGTCTGCCCATGTAGCCGCAGGCCATGTAGGTGAGAATGGGCTGCAGCATGACCTGGACGGAGCTGGCCCTCTTGCTCAGGGTGGTGAGGATGGTGAAGAGGCCATCTCCCACGGAGATGGCATCCAGGCCGCCGTGGAAGTTCTCGTGCTTGGTGAGATGGAGGCCGCTGGCACCTGGAGCAGAGAGAGAGTTAAGGAGGTAAGAGGAAGCTTTTAGCCCTCGGCCTGCTTTCCGCGCCGCACGCTCCGTCTCACCGATGATCATTGCCATGGCGCTGCTGTTGCACTGGCCCAACGCCGACAGGATCTGGCTCATTATCTGCTGATTGGCCAGCACCAGGTCGGCCACACCGGCGGGAGGACCCTGGCTGGACGCCGTGCTCTCTTTGCTGCCGCAGACCTTCTCTTCGTCCGACACGCTGCTGTCAGCAGCGCCACCGCCGGCTGGTGGCAGGCGTCCGCTGAACTCCCTGTCCCCAGAGAGAGGGAGCTGCACCAGCGCGTTGACCAGCTTGAGCAGGTTGAACATGAGCTGGTCTCGCGTGGTTTCTCCACAGACGGCCTTGGCGTCGCCGGGCCGGATGATGTTGGCGAAGAGGCCGCCGAAGCAGGCCTTGGCACCCACCGAGCTTTCCGAGCCGCTGCGGGACACCACCTTGTCAGAGCAGGTTATGTAGTGGTGAACCAGGAAGGTGATGGACTCCATGACGGAGGAGATGGTGGCCACAGACACCACCTCGAAGTTCTGCTCCAGCGTGAACTCTAGCAGCTTGACCTGGGCGTCCAGAGGACCCTGACCCGCCTGGAACGGCCCCCTGAGGAGACGCCCAGCTGTTCAGAAACACGGCTCCGACTGCTTTAGATTCCAGGTGGAGGGACGGCAGAGCTTACCTCTCGGTGGACAGGATGTGGATGAGCTTCAGCAGGAACTCGCTGAACATCTGGGGACAGGTGGAGGACAGGTGGACCTGCAGGCGGCTCAGGAACTCGTGCATGGCCTGGGTGGCGGTAGGCCCCACCTGGGAGCTGTGCTGGCTGGTGCCGTTGGTGCTGCTGCTGGACAGGAAGCGCAGCAGCACGTGAACCAGGGTGGGGTCGGACACCATCTGCTGCGCCGTGCTGTCCTGAGGGTTGGCGGCTCCGCCGGAGGCTGCGGGCAGAAGCACAGGGTTTCACTCAGGTCCCAGTAAGCGTGGCGACCCGCAGACTTTAGAGCGGCACTTACCGGAGGGCGGCATGTTGGTCATCAGCGTGAGTGAGTGGAGCACCAGGCACCAGGTCCTCAGGGAGGCGCTGGGGTACCAGGCCAGCACGGATATGAAGCTGCTGATGGAGGCTGAGGGCGGAGGAGGAGGACACACTGAAACCTGAGCTAACTGAGCTAATGGGACGGCAGCAGTTTTCAGAACCCACCTTGGTTTAGAGGAATGGTGGGAACTCTGCTGGCGTTGAACAGGAAGACGTCTGAGCCGCCGTCTTCGCCACCAGCGGAGCTGGTGTTGAGGCTAAGGGTGAGCCAAAGCTGAAGCAGGGACTCCAGCTGAGAGCAGAGGAGGGCGAAGAGCGGAGACACACGGCAACCGTTAATCATTCGAACTTAAAAATAAGAATAAAGTAAATAACATCAGATCATAAAAGATAATAATTCTGAAAAACATTTTCTCTGCTTTCAATAATATTGGATCCAATGAGTCTCTGCATGGACAAAGCTTCGCCTCCAGGTGGTCGTTCTGAAGGGACCACCGCAAACAGGAGCTTTAGCCAATCAGAGGCTCCATGAGCCCTCAGAAAGCTACCTGCACGTGGTGGACCTGCAGCATGGAGAACAGCTTGTTGAAGCAGGCACTCAGAATGGGAATGGATGAGGGCTGGACCGCCGGGCCGCCGCCATGGAACGCTCGGAGCAGGGAGTCATCGGTACCGTTGGAGGCCTGGGTGACTGGAACCCAGCAAAACATTAGGTGTTAATGGGAGAAAGCAGGCAGCAGGAGGGAGAAAAGCTGTTCAAAACGGACCTAAAGCCTGACGTGGACTGGCTCATTGCTTCTGTTAATGAGGTCATTTAGCAGCCATGATGAGACCAGAGGAGCTTTTTATCATGAAGAAGAAATAAATGGCTCAACGCATCACATACCCACGTTAATGGTTTCTACTAAAATTAGTTAGCATTTGCTCTTTATTAGAGGAGTGAGGAAAACCATCCAAAATGAACGAGCATTCAGGTCCCTGAGGATCGTTAGAGCTGAGAAATTAAAGGAAAAGTCGCTCAGATTCAGAATTCAAACTTCTTAAAGTACTTTAAATATGAAATTATTACATACTGTTCAAAAAATGACAAGTGTATTTAATTAAGAGTAATTTCATTTGAATGTGCTTTACTGGAGACATCCATGTTTGTCAAAGTACACTACTGCCACCTACTGGTTTGTGACTTCACAGTGAGGTATCAGTTGTTGAGCAAGTCCCAGTACAGTATCTGGCTTGTGTCTCAATGCGCTACTAACCAAGTAATTTTTGAAACATCCTTCTTCAAGATGTTGGCTACATATTACACTTTTTTTCTCTGGCCAGAAGTTCGATGGCAAATCCTCCCTCTTCAAGTTGGCAATCCAATATTTAAACCCGTCAGTGGAGGATCAGGAATCAGAAAGATGAAATAACTTTTCCCCGAAGTATTCCAGCATCCAGCTGCCATGCTCGTGGGCATTGTCAGTTTCACTATAGCTCTGGTGAATTTCAATGGTGAAGTCCTCTGGAAATCTTCAATAATTGATGTTGATTGCAGATGTGTCTAGTAGTTCCCATTGATTCTGCTTGTAAAGCAGGGAGAATGGCGCTAGGCTTACCGCACCGTGACGTCACTGCTGGAAGATGGCAGGAGGGAGGGGTTACTATATTTGGGCAAAAATGGCCGCTCCCAGACTCAGTGATCGCAGAAAAACTATTTTTATTTTTTCACTGATGTGGAGTAAAACATGTTGAGGTATTTCTTTTCTTAGCCTCACAGGCTCTAAAAGAAGATCATGAGAGATCAGAATGAGTCACACAGCCTCTTTCATGGCATCAAGGGGAGGCCTGTTGTTTTGAGGAGATCCATCTGGCCAGTGAAAGATACAGTAACCTAACAGCGAACAGCCTTGATGAACTTAAAGTTGTTTTTCCTCCAATTTTCAAGTGTAAGAAAGTTCTTTATGCAGGGGGTGAGTTGGTTCCCCTGGGGGGAGTGTGTGTGTTGGGATGTTGTAAGTTATAAATGTTCATTAAATCAGCGCGAAAGTATTAGTTTTAGATATAAATAATGATCCATTTATTATTATTGCTGACCGGACATTTCCTTTAAATACCAGAGATGCTTGTTCCTATTCTAGGAGCAAAAACCTTTTATCAGGAGCTAAACCTTTATTCTAGGATAACTGGACTTTAGTTCTCCTCTTGCAGCCAATAAACAACGGTTCTGTCTATAGCGGGAAACGTTCCAGTTCCCTTCACTAAGTGTGAAAAAGTTCAGCTCAGTGTGGGAACGCCGTCACCACAGGCGCCTCACCTGCTGACGAACTGGAACTGAGCGCCTGCAGGATGGAGTCGGCCTGCAGGGTCGCCATCATCTTCAGCATCAGCTCGGCCTGCTGCTCCAGGCCTACTTCGAGCCGGGCGTCCAGCGCTGCCAGACCAGAGCTCAGTGTGAGGAATATTCCAGGAAAACAACCGCAGGAAAACGGTAGAGGCTGGGCATCGGCTCACCTTGAGATACGGACACCGACACGCACTGGGAGGGAGGCTTCTCAGGCGCAGCGGAAGGCTTGGATACTGGAATCCCAACGCCCCCGATGTAAGGATTGTACCCGTAGGTCCCATAGTCAGCACCCCAGTAGTCATACCAGGTACTGCTGATAGGCTGGGGAAGAAGGAGAGAGGATTCAAAACAGCTGGGATGGTGGAGAAGCTGTGAGACCCGAGAATAATGAGTCCAACGTACCTTAAAGACTTTGGCGGCGAGCGGATCTTTTTCCAAATCAATATCTAAAGGATCAATATCAACATCCATCAGGTCTTGTAGCAAGTCAAAGTCTATGTCTTTATCTTTTTCCAAAGATGATAGAGGAGGAGCACCTTTGGATAATAAAAACATCTTTAATATCTGCAGGTTCAGCAGAGAAAACCACTAAAACAAAGAACGCAGCAAAGAGTCAAGCCCAAAGGGCGACCACCTACTCTGGAAAGCAGCAGAGCCGCCTGGAGCCCCCGCCATCATGTCTGGAACCAGAGCGTCATCCATGGTCTCCACCAGGGGGATGGGTGGGGGCTGGGCCAGTGAGTCGTCCGAGTCTGCTACGGCCGAGGAACACGACGCTCCCGCCTCCTCGCCCACGGCCTCGTCCATGGCGTCCAGAGAGCCTGGAGACGTCAGCTCACCTTGGAGCAGAGAGGCAGACAGTGAGGAGCTGAGAGTCGCCCTGCTGGATGGCGTCTTCCACAGATCATCTCTAACTCCGTTCAATTGGACGCCTGGTCTCTGACCGCCGTGATGCAGCCTGGTTCAGTCTGTTGTTCCGCTTTTAAATCAGCTGACCACAATGCATAGCAGATGGTTAACCTGCAGTGCTGCGTTTAGGCGCCGCACACAAGCGGCTGAGTTCAGCAACAGGACTAGCACATCCAGCAGGAATCAGAGGCGATTAGATGTTCAAGAAGGCGTTTAGCCAATCAGGCCAGGAGCAAAGCGTTTAACTGGACCAAGTTCTGAGGGCACTGTGGACGGCACTACAGCCATAGTTTCTGCCATTAGGTACCAAACAGGAAATACGCATAGTGTAGAGCGGATGTAGAACTGACCAATCAGAGGCCCACTGTCTACGGTCACCTACAATTTTGGGGAGGTGCAGGAGAGTGTCTGCTGAAGGGGGGGCATATCTGCGTTAACTGCGACAGATCGCCTCCTGTTCGTGTTCAGAGAGTGAATCTTCAGCAGCCTTGCTGTAAAGCTGCTGCCTTTGATTGGCCAATTAGCTCCAATCAGGATTAGCCTAATCCCTAAAAGAGAGAGAAGCATCCTGATCTAACACTAATGACATAAGAAATGCATCAAACAGACCTGCCAGGATGTCCTGCAGCATGCATGTGAGCGAGTACTGCGCCCAGGCCCCTCCCCAGGAGATGTCCCCTCGGTTGAAGTCCGTCCCTACAAGCAGCAGCAGCAGGCGCTCCAGCTGCTGCTCGGACACCACCTCACACAGATGGATCGTGGGTCTGGTGGCGTTGGCTATTCGGGCCAGAACCTGCAGGGGAAACGGCGTGAATCTCAGGGTCACATTAGTCGGGGTCCTCCCCGCAGGAGGTCAGAGGTTACCTTGCAGACGAACAGCAGCAGGTCGGCGTGGCAGGTGAAGTCCATGGAGAGCAGGAAGAGGGCCAGCTTCTGCACCACAGAGATGCAGCGCTCGTGGGACAGAGTGAAGGGCAGCGGCTCCACCTCAGGGGCGTCTTTGGCTGCGGTGGACTCTGCGTCCAGAGTAGAGCGAGGCCATTCGGCCGTCCGCCTCAGACGGATCAGGTCTTTAAAGTGCTGCGGAGGGAAGCGGACGCTTGGTTAAAGACATGGGAGAAGAAGCTGGAAGCTTGGAGCTTCTGGGCTGCTCCTTACCTTAGAGGTGGCTTGTTTGAGTTTGGCCTGTTCTACTAGGAGTTTGTAGGAGGAACCTTTGTTGCTCTGGATTTTCTCCTTCTCTATCTGCTCAAACAAAGCTTTCTGTTTTGCTTTCAATAGATTCAACTGCTGCAATAAAACAGGCAGTGTTAAAGAGCGTCTGCAGAAGGCATTGCTGTGAAGCTCCTCACATTGCTCTGCTCTGGAGCTGAACATGTTTACCTGCTTGTGATGAACCAGCTGCTTGCGGAGCTTCCGGGAATAGAGCCGGTCCAGGCTGCTGCTGCCTTTCGCCGCCCGGCTGGAGTTCTGGGACTGCAGAGTGTTGTTAATAAAGCTCCACTGAGTCACTGCAACACAGGAAGCATCAGGTCAGATCCTCGTCCACAGGACGTCTAGAGTACGGACAGTAAGGCAGGGAGGTGTGTGTGCGTACCCGTAGCAGGCCGGTCCCGCTCCTTCCCGCCCAGGTTCTTCTTGGCCGCTGACGCCTCGTCCTCGATGTTGGCAACATAGTCCAAGAGCCTGGACACCAGCATCACCACCCAGCTTATCATGGGGATGTCTAGGATACCTGGAGGGAACACAGACATGGTCCTCGTACCTGAGGTGCACCTGAAGGGGGACGGCAGCTCTGCGGGTGCTTTACCTGCTTTACCTTCAGCCCTGCGCTGAGAGGCAGCCTGCGGTCGCTGCAGAGGGGACAGCAGGCTGTCCAACAGGTTCAGGAGCCCCTCCAACACGCCGCTGTTGCTCAGGGATCTTTGGCCGATGCAGGACAGCAGCATGAACACTCTGCAGGGACCAGAGCAGGAGTCGGTTACTAGAGAGTCAGAATGAACCCTGGAAAGAGGGTTCAGAGAGCAGCAGCATTCACTCGGCAGCTTGCGCTGTAATCACTGCAAGCCTAGACCAAGCAGGAGGATCTGAGCCTGCTTAAGGTTGGCAGGGAAATGCATAAAAAAAAAACGTCCATGACTTCTCTGGTGCCCTGAACCCCTTGGGTCAGAAAACCTTAGCGCCTGATGTCCTGAATAAGCCCTCCTTTCCCCTCAGTCACAGTACCTCTATGTGCTGATGTCAATCAGCGTTATGACCAGAGGAGGAACTAAGGTCCTCCTCTCCTCCTTTTCCAAACCTTCCTGGTCTCAGTCTGACCTGCTACTCCTGCTTTAGTTAGCTTAAAGGGGAAGTCGGGTCATATTCAGAATTCAAACTTCTGAAAGTACTTTAAATATGAAATTATTACATAGTGTTAAATAAATGTTTTTACTTAAGAGTAATTTTCATGTGAATGTGCTTTACTGGAGGCATCCGTGTTTGTCAAAGAACACTACTGCCACCTACTGGTTAGTGACGTCACGGTATCGGCTGTTGATCAAGTCCCAGTGCTGTATTTCAGAGGTCACAGATTAGCGGACCGCGGTCCGAATCCGGACCCAACCTGATTTTAAACATTTTTAAATGACTGCATGTTGTCTGACGGCAGTGTCTAATTTCACTTGCGCCGCTTCTCCTGTTTGTACAGTAAAACCCTCCGGGACCAAGCTATATGTGGTGCCAATTAGCCAATGAGCTGCTGTCAGTCTGGGTTGCTGCTGCTGCTACTTTTAGACACAGCAGGCAAACCTGTGGCAAGCCGGGCGATGGGAAAGAAGGAGAAGATGATGAGAAAAAGAGAGCAGAGAAAGTGTGGACTGCTGGAAGAACTGTGGTGAACTGGTGAAAGAAAAGTGAAATGGTGCTCAAAGATGACCCTGAACATTTAGAGGATGTTTGGCTCAACCTGCTGCTGTGAAGCAGGATTCTCCACCATGAACAGAATAAAAAATAAATATGGATCCAGGCTCAGAATGAGCTCCTTGATATGAGCTTTAGAATGGCTTAGTCTCCATTCAAACCAGGTTTAAAGCCTTGCAGGGCAGCAGAAAGCCCACTGCCAACATTAAGACAGAAAAAATAACAACAAACGATCAGTTCAGGTGTTTTATGAAATATCGGAGTCAAGAAATTCTCTATATACCAAATTGAACGATTGTTGTTCTCTACTTGATTTTTTTTTTTCTCCCATTTTTTAAAATGGAAAATGTTCTTTTTTTGTATTTTATTATTTCAGTCTTAAATTCTGTTTAAAGTAACTAATAAAAAATGTCTCCAGACCTTTACTGGATGATGATTATCTTTATTCAGACCCCACAGATTTTTTCATTGGTTACCCCTGATGTATCTGGTGTTTGTCACAACGCGCTATTATCCAAGTCATCTTGAAAACATTATCCCAAATGTTGGCTACATATGTGTTTTTTCTCTGGCCAGAAGTTCGATGGCAAATCCTTCCGGATTGTTGTTTTTTTTTACTGATTAACGTTAATTACATTAAATCACCGCAAACGTGTCTCTGGTATAGATAATGATCCATCAATTATTCCTTGCTTAACGGACTTCCTCCTTTAAAGATTCAAAGATTCCTTTTTAATGCAGAACACCTGAACTAGCGACGCAAAATAAAATAATTCTTTTTACCAAAAAATACAACATATGAAGAAATGTTGACATGCTAACGTAGACATGAAAGCAGACCAGGACTGCTAATGCTAAACCCCACTAGCTGTTAGCAGCCTGCCTTGCCCCCGCCCCAGTATTACCCCCCCATCCTTTCTCCCTTTTTGCTTAAGCCTGCCCTGCATGTTCAGCACTATGGAGGACCAATCCTTCCATAATTAAAAATAAATACAGAAATATAAAAACGACAGGCAGACATAAATAGCATGGGAGAAATAGATAGGAGAAAAAAATACAAAGGAAGAATAAACTAGACAAAAATATTATAACATGCACAAAAATAAATACTTAAAGAAATAATAAATAAAGTTGAAGATTATAAAGGACAATAAATAAATAGGGTAATTATTACAAAGGCGAAAAAACTAAAGAGCTAATTAAAAGAGATTTTTATATATATATGTCTTACTGTATAATTTCATTTCTATCTACATTCATTGGTTATTGTATTTTCGGGGCAATTAATTGTGTGCTTATCTATTTTTGGAGCATTTATTTATTTCTGCATTTATTTTTATTTATGGCAGGATTGGTCCTCCATACACACTATAAGCACCTTTTGGAAATAACCTGTGCCTGACTGATGTTTTTCATTATTCAGAAATGTGAAGATTGTGTTTCTATAGCAACACTAAAACTAAGCAAAAAACATTTGCCGCAGTAAACTGAGGAGTGAAGCCCGGAGCTCGGTCCTCCTGTTCCTTGGACGGCGAGAGCCTACAGTAACGGGGTTGCTGGGGCCTCCTACCTGTCCTGGGGGAAAATAAGCAGCTGCTCAGAGTTGTAGAGCTCCTGCAGGACGTTAGAGAGGAACTGCCCCCACCAGGGTTCGCCCCCACATAGCTGCACCAGCAGCAGGCCGGCATGGAGGCGAATTTTGGGCGTCCCGCTGATGCAGAGATGTTTAAACAGCTCCTCACAGGCTTGGGCGTGGAAGGTATTCTGGAGCACCGAGGGGACACAGTGTCCTGACGAGACAAATGGACCCGTTAGTCAACATTAGTTAAAGACGGACAGAGGCCAACCTGCAGCAGCACTCACCGTTATTGGAATGCAGAAGGCTGAGCAGGGTGTCCAGCAGGTAGCGGATGATTGTCCTGAGCTGCTCGGTGGAGGAAACGTGAACGAGCCCCTGAGGGTCCCCAGCTTTGGGCAGACACTTCCGGCTGGCCCCCAACGACACCCGCAGCCTCTGGACGGCGTGGTGGGCCAGGTTAAGCTGCAGCTGCAGCTGGATGCAGTCCTGGTAGGCGGAGAAAACCCGCTGGTCCTCTTCCACCACCTTGTCTGGTTTTCTTAGGAAGTACTGAGCGTTGTTGGCGCTGTTCAGAGGCGGAAGGTCGATGTTGTGAAGAAGGGTTTCCAGCCGATGGCAAGCTAGGTTGTACCTTAGAAACCGAGCAGATTATAGTTAGAGTGGCTCAGGTTATCCTGAGCTACCTCTATAGTTATGCTGCTATAGCTTTAGACTGCTGGAGGACATAGGGACCCCTTCTTCACTGTTCTGCATCATTCTATCTCTATTCTCCTACTCAGGAGAATCTGTTAGTTCAATCTCTAACGTTCTGCTCTCTTTGCTTTTTCTCATAGTAGCTTCATCTGGTCTGTTCCTGTTTGGCTGTGACTCCATCCTGGACAGAAATATCAGCTGTGCTGCTGCCATCAACACCTTTGTTTATAGATGTTGGAGATCGGCCTGTTTTTCATTGTAGTCCTGTTTCTCTGACTGTGACTAACTGGATGTGCTCTCTTCATCCTCTGACATTGGAGCTGGCTCGGAGCTTCTCTGCCTGGCTGTGTGTTTCCTGGGCGGGGCCGCCTTTTACAATTGCTTTGTGTATCTCTGCTTCTTTTTCTATCTCTGCTTCTGTCTCCTTGAACCCCAGTCAGCCTCAGCAGATGGCCGCTCACACTGAGCCTGGTTCTACTGGAGGTTTCTTCCTGTTAAAAGGGAGTTTTTCCTCTCCACTGTCGCTACTAGCATGCTTACTGTGAGCGATTGCATTAGAGTCAATGAGTTGATGCAATCAGCTGGTTTTCCTTAGGTAGAAAACTTTGAATCAGTCTGACTGGATGAACTGTAAAGTGCCTTGAGATGACTTGTGTTGTGATTTGGGGCAATATAAATAAATTCAATTGAACTGAATTAATTAATTTTAAGGTCAAAGCTGAGGAGCAACCACATAACACCATCTGAGGGGAACCACCTGCACTGGATGTCCTCCTGCAGAGCTACCATCATGGTCAGATGCTGATCCACGTCAGGCTGACTGGCTGCCTCACTTTCTCCCCGCAGCGGATCATGCATCAGTTTCAGCTCGCTCTCCCAGGGTAGGATGTATGTGTGGCCGTAGAAGAACCCTAACGGGATCTTGGCTCGCGCGCTGGTGCTGCCGTAGCGTCCGATGACTGTGATCTGAATGAACGGGTTGGAGAAATCAGGGCCGCCCAGCAGGTTTAAAATGGATCGCAGTCCTCACCAGATCACAGAGATACTGACCTTCATGAACCTACAGACCGGTGGTGGCAGAAGGTCGTGAAGAATCAGTGAGTGGGTGCTGATGTCTGAGGCCACAACCAGCCTGCGACCGTCCACCTCCTCGCCCAGCGTCCAGATGTCTATGGACAGAGAGGCTAGGTCCCCACAGGTCGGGATCAGGGCATCGGTCAGCAGAACGGGACGGCCGAAGTCAAGGGTGACGAAGCGCCGAGCTCCTGGTCAGAAAAAAACGATAGTTCAAAATGACCACTGAAACCAACAGACTGGGAATAAATCAATGATAGAAGTAGAGATTCTAGAACTGTTCTGCTTTGGGACATTTGTTAGGAAGAGAAACCACACCAAGTTAAAAAACGGCTAAAGCAAAAGTACACTAATATTTCTGCCGGCTCCAGTTGAGTTGAGGAGGCAGAGCAAGAGCAAAGATAGCAGAGGAGGAGGAAATTCAAGCCTTCTCTCCCATCAATCATTATGGCCAAAGTGAGATCTTTAAGAAACCAGTTTCAAGGGCCGTTTCTCAATACAAGTACTTGCGTTCTCATGTGCTTGTGTCCTCAGCTCTAATACTGTTCCAATTCAGAAGAAGACCAAGAACGGACAAAGTCCCTGGATGTTGTTCTCACCCCTCCCTCTTTACCCAGCAGGCATCAGAGCAGACTTGCCCGTTCTTGAGACTGACAGCTGTTCCGGCATGCACCACGGCAGCAGCAGCTCCCAGGTTAGCCCTGGCTGCTGTTAGCCTTTAAGGTCCGCTGGTTGCCACGTTCCTCTCAACATCAGAACTTTTAAATCTAACAAACTAAGGTCAGCTCGCCATACGCTTTAACAAAACAACAAAAGTAATTAAATTATTTGTACGTGACTAAAGGGATACACGCCTGTTGAGGTAGTTTAAAGTTTATTCTTCATGCAAAACTAAAAGGATAAATGGGTATTGACTATGGGTATGCTGGTGTGACCGGGTATGCTCCTCTTACAGAACACCGGCTTACCCATAATGTAAATGCAGTCAATGACACGCCGCCTCTGCATAACGGGAAATCTCTGTAAACAAGCCTAAAATGTACCCTTTTAAATATAACAGTGCAGTCTGAAACATCTTCTGCATGACTTCAGAATGCAGATTTTGCACAAAAAAAAAGAAATCGTGAAACAAAAAAAAAGAGTGTCTCCATTAAAATACTTTTTCAGAACTGCCACAAAACATACCGCTAATGAAGATCCTTCCTACATACATCTATTCACATTAAAAAAAAAAAAAATCCCCTTTGAGTTTAACACATTTCATTTCCCTCTAGGATCTATAAAATGTTTTTGAATTGGCCTACTGTCATCTAATAGCATATTATTCAACGATACATACCAGAGTGCATTCGCTCGATGATTATGGACTGGTGTGGAGGAGGCTGCAGGAAGTGAGATGCCTGAGAGATAGCCAGAGCCAAACCGCTGCCCATTGGGCTCTGCAACACAAAACATTCTGATTTTAACAAAAAAAAAAAATACTTTAATTTTCATCTGCAGTTAACCCTTTCCATCCAACTAAAATGCGAATTAGAAGAGAACTTTCAATTTTTAAAAGGAGGAAATGTGTATTTGCGGTGTTTCAATTTGGTTTGAAGCGAATAAACCAGGCAACACCAAACGTAATGTCGTCATAGGTCGTCCACGTACCGCATGGCTGTAATAATCAGGATGTAAAGGCTGCAATCTGGCACTGACCACAGATCAGTAATGGAGGAATGTTCTGATCAATGCGTTGCCATCTGTCAAGCTGCTCCTACCGTAAAAATTCTGGCCTACCAGCTGACATTATTGGCTCTACCTTGGCCCTATTGTGGTTCTACCTTTTTTATACCTCATCCAAAATAGCCATGTTATCTACACTCACCGGCCACTTTATTAGGTACCCCATGCTAGTAACGGGTTGGACCCCCTTTTGCCTTCAGAACTGCCTCAGTTCTTCGTGGCATAGATTCAACAAGGTGCTGGAAGCATTCCTCAGGGAGTTTGGTCCATATTGACATGATGGCATCACACAGTTGCCACAGATTTGTCGGCTGCACATCCATGATGCCAATCTCCCGTTCCACCACATCCCAAAGATCCTCTATTGGATTGAGATCTGGTGACTGTGGAGGCCATTTGAGTACAGTGAACTCATTGTCATGTTCAAGAAACCAGTCTGAGATGATTCCAGCTTTATGACATGGCGCATTATCCTGCTGAAAGTAGCCATCAGAAGTTGGGTACATTGTGGTCATAAAGGGATGGACATGGTCAGCAACAATACTCAGGTAGGCTGTGGCGTTGGAACGATGCTCAATTGGTACCAAGGGGCCCAAAGAGTGCCAAGAAAATATTCCCCACACCATGACACCACCACCACCAGCCTGAACCGTTGATACAAGGCAGGATGGATCCATGCTTTCATGTTGTAGACACCAAATTCTGACCCTACCATCCGAATGTCGCAGCAGAAATCGAGACTCATCAGACCAGGCAACGTTTTTCCAATCTTCTATTGTCCAATTTCGATGAGCTTGTGCAAATTGTAGCCTCAGTTTCCTGTTCTTAGCTGAAAGGAGTGGCACCCGGTGTGGTCTTCTGCTGCTGTAGCCCATCTGCCTCAAAGTTGGAAGTACTGTGCGTTCAGAGATGCTCTTCTGCCCACCTTGGTTGTAACGGGTGGTTATTTGAGTCCCTGTTGCCCTTCTATCAGCTCCAACCAGTCTGGCCATTCTCCTCTGACCTCTGGCATCAACAAGGCATTTCCGCCCACAGAACTGCCGCCCACTGGATGTTTTTTATTTTTCGGATCCTTCTCTGTAAACCCTAGAGATGGTTGTGCGTGAAAATCCCAGCAGTTTCTGAAATACTCAGACCAGCCCTTCTGGCACCAACAATCATGCCACGTTCAAAGTCACTCAAATCACCTTTCTTCCCCATACTGATGCTCGGTTTGAACTGCAGGAGATTGTCTTGACCATGTCTACATGCCTAAATGCACTGAGTTGCCACCATGTGATTGGCTGCTTAGAAATTAAGTGTTAATGAGCAGTTGGACAGGTGTACCTAATAAAGTGGCCAGCGAGTGTATATCTCAATCTCTATAGTTATGCTGCTATAGACTTAGACTGCTGGAGGACATAGGGTCCCCTTTTCATAATTCTGCTTCATTCTATCTCTATTGTCCCATTCTGCAGCAGTCCGTCCACACTGAGCCTGGTTCTGCTGGAGGTTTCTTCCTGTTCAAAGGGAGTTTTCCTCTCCACTCTCACTACAGGCATGCTTGGTGTGAAGGATTGAGTGAATTAACTCTGTAAAGTTCCCTGAAATTACATGTTTTGTGAGCTGGTGCTAAATAAATAAATTGGAACATCTGGGAAGATAAGTAATTTTTTCTTAAAATAAGTGCATTTGTTCTTGGATTGAGGAGGTAAAGGAAACAGTTTGTCAATAAGAAAACACAATTGCATTGTCTTGTTTCAAGTGCATATAATCTAATTATCTTATTTTTAGAGTAAAAATACTCATTCCATTGGCAAACTCATTTACCTACTCAAATTAAGAGTAAATACACTGAATTTAGGAATTCTTTTTACTTATTTCTAGATCGTTTTTCCAAGTCCTCCAAAAACTGACTCTGGACAAGATGCCTCTCAAGGTCACGAAAAAAAAAAAAAAGCCGTAAGTCAGAGCTAGAGCAGAGGAGCGTCCAAGTAATCCAAACAAGGGCAGGAAAAACAAAGCGACGTCTGGGACTCCATTACTGACCTGTTTGGTTTTCTGCGTGTTCTTGTGTGCAGCCATGTTGACGGGGCCCTGCTCCATCATGGAGCCTGGGAACAGGTGAGCCAGCTCTGCACTGAAGGCTGCAGACACCGCCTCGTTGGGCGGGGTGAGAGGCGGGGTCATGAAGAGAGGCGTGGTTTTAGGCGTAGGTGGGATGACATCTGAGGGATGGATGAAGAAGCCCGGAGCGGACGAGTTTGAAGGCACCGAGTTATGGATGGGTCCGACTCCAGACGCCACGGCGGCAGCTGCAGACGTGGTCTGATGAAGCTTGGCCTCCAGCTTTGCTTTCTGCTCCCAGAAGAGGAGAGACGATTAAAGACAAAGGTACTGAGGATGAGTCATTTAACCTTCACTTGAGCACAAATTTATAGTTTTTACCAGTGGCGGTTGGCCAACAGAGGGCGCCGCCCCCACTTACCGAACGATCCTATTTAAGACTTTTTTAAAAAAGTTTTCTTTTATTTTTCTTTTTTTTTTTACACAACTTCATTTCAAATTAAAATTTTTAATATTTAATAATGTATAGATATATATTTTTTAGATATTCAAGATAAATATTTTATCTTTAATAACAAGTAAAGTATCATTTCATTTCTCGTAGGATTGGTAACATATTTCCGCCCTAGGGAGCAAAAATCTTTGCCCACTGAACCTCGTTAAAAGTTGTGCATGCACAGTAGCCCCTCTGCAATACAGAAGTACAAGAGAGCTCAGGGTGCAGGTAAGCTGTGACCTGAGGTGACAGGAAGTGTATTTGCTCACTGCCTCCCACCACAGGAGTTGGAGACGAGAGAGAGAAAAATGGAGCAATAAACGTCCTTTTCCAGAACCCGGTTTAGCTACAAGGCTAGGCTAACTGCATGCAGTGAGGCTAACACTGTATTCTGCTTCCCCTGCCTCCTTTTTCAAACGTCAAGATCTGAGCCAGCATGGATAAAGACAAGGAGGACTGATTTAAAGCACTTTGTAGAAAAACGCAAAGAAGAATGAACAATCTGGGATTCACATGGAAAATTATAGAATATAGTGCACTTTTTCTAGACGTTTGCATAGTTGCTCTTAAACACTTTCTCAGAAAATAAATAGTTCGTATATATATTAAAAAATATAAAGCTGACTAATAGCTTCTCCATTATTAAACTGATACATTTTTTTTTTTAGGTTTGTGACGCCATATTGGTCCATGCAAAGCACAGATTTACCTTCACAAAGCGTCAGAAGGCAAGATTTATGTACAAAAAGTAAACCAGTACATGAAATTGTGTCTTGTATTTATAGTGTTTTTATAATGTTCTTTGTTATTGGCATTCATAGAAAAATAGTGGTGTGATAACTTAGTATAAGTTTAATTGTTTTTTGGTATATGTCTACTTTGAATTTATAGCGCCCCCTGGAGAAAACTTCACCGGCCGCCACAGGTTTTTACAATAAGAATCCATCTATAAGTGAACCTTTAACCTCTTTCTCTAAGTGGTACATAAGCGGTGAATTTAGGATGTGAATCAAATCAAAAAACGTCCACATATGTCTTCTCCGTCTTTCACCATCAAAATACGGAGCCGAGCAATTTTTTTGCTTCGCCCCAGTCAGGTAGAGATCCGCAATCACAATCACACCAAACGGCGAGAATATCCGGTTTGTCAAATTAAAATATAGTAACAACAGATCGGTAACTACAAATTATAGCATAATTCTTATAAATTCCCCAAAACTAAGACCGTTAAATTAAATGATTGGATGCAAACTATTGGTACTTGAACATACCAGGAAGCAGATTTCTCATCTCCATCAAAATATTTATTCTATACTGAGTGGCTTAAAGGGATAGTTCGGTATTTTTGACATGAATCTGTATGGCATCCCCATCACCAGTGGCATGCAATCACACTGACTTACCCCTGGCAGCGTCCTGTGAGCAGAGTTATCGTCTAGTTTTGGTCAAGCCGAAAGTAGTCCGGCAGGTTTTTAGGAACAGCGAAATAAAACTTTTCTCTTCCCAAAACATTATGTGTTCAAAAGAAAGGACCAAGTGATAACGACGTGTGACTTTTTCCACTACAATGTTTTTGGGATGCAAAAATATCGCTCTTTTGAACACATAATGTTTTGGGAAGAGAAACGTTTTATTTCGCTGTACCTAAAAACCTGCCGGACTACTTTCGGCTTGACCAAAACTGGACGATAACTCTGCTCACAGGACGCTGCCAGGGGTAAGTCAGTGTGATTGCATGCCACTGGTGATGGGGATGCCATACAGATTCATGTCAAAAATACCGAACTATCCCTTTAAAAGTTTAATCAAATCCTGTCAAAACAAAGTTCTTATCAAAGGCCTGGATGAAGAGATGCGGAGTTTGGAAGTAGAGAACAAAAAAGCTCATAAAAAGCAATTTTCTATGATGCTAGTTATCCCTGTTACAAAAAACCTCAACAAAAAGAAAGTATTTGGTCTGAAACTGAACATGATGGATGCTGATGGGGATTTTTTTATTATGTGATATTAATTTAAGCATTCATTTCCACATGTTAAGCTCCTATGAATTTAATAATAATATAGCACATGCTCTTCTCAAGCTCCAAAGAAGTCGGAGCGCAGCAAGACGGGAGGAACAGGGGAGACTGTAGGCTTTGCTTTGTGCAGGCGGTCTGGAGCACAGCGAGCGGTGCGCTCACGGAGGATTATAACCTCCTCTTAATCTTACATGACCTCTTGACTTTATTATTTAAATGTTGCTTCTGATACCATAGACCTGATATAACACCTTTATTCTGGTCATGATGACTTTGTTTCATCTCCATTTCCTTTCATTATGCTCCTTTAAAAGATTCAGTATTCGAACATCAGCACCAATGAGGCCTTTCTTTGCTTGTGGTATAACCCTTCTGAAAGCGAGCAAACAGAACCTCACCTGTTGCTGCAGCTTCAGCAGCTGCAGCTGTTTCTCCTGTAGCACCTGCAGTTGCTGCTCGGCAGACACCATGGCGTGGGACAGCGACTGCAGGGCCACCTGAGCTGCAGAGCTCAGAGCTGTTGAAGCTTCTCCCACCGTCCCCGTTGACAGGCCGCCCACTGTCGGGGTCACGCCAAATGTACTCACTGGCATGAAGAAGCACAACCACCAAACTTAACGTGTGGCCGGAAAGAAAAGGGTTTCTGAAAGACGTTTGTTGAAAAGCAGAGGAAGAGTTACCAGTGAACATGCTGGCGTCGTCTCGCTCCACCCGTGTGCCGTCGCTGGTGGATATACAGGTAAAGTGCAAAGGCTCCACCTCCAGGAGTCCAGTCAGCGCCGTGAAGCTCCCCTCTGCTGCAGCTGAACTGCTCACCTTTCCATTCCCTGCAAAACATCCCAGCTCTGACATCTTTTCTCATTTTATCTGAACACCTACGCTTCTTCCGACTCCTACCTGAGAGGATCTCGGAGAGGTCGATCTCATCGGACTGGACTCCAATGCTGCTGTTGAAGGCGTTCTTACAGGAGGAGCCGCTGACCTCCAGGTCAAAAAGCACCGGGTCAAACGGAGAGCTGTACAGGCCGTACCTGAGGGAACCGCAGACGATTCATCAGACACAGCCGAGTGAAACGGCAGCTATGGAGACCATCCAGGCGGACTGTGGACCTACCTGGTCTGCAGCAGAGCCTCCAGCGGGGTGAGGCGGTCCTGCAGCTGTCTGGAGATGGTGGTGAGCAGGGAGGCGCATGCTGTGCTGCATCCTGCCAGGTCTTCCTCCTTCACGTAGTTCAGCAACACAAAGTACCAGAACACCGAGCCTGTGGAGCAGACGACAGAGCTGGCTGAGACCTGAGCGGGGGGGAGGGCTGCGGCTGTGCTGTGATGCTCTCATACTCACCGCCGGTCGCTGCTGCAGGCAAATACGATATGTTATCCAGAAGGGCCTTCAGGAGGCTCAGGCCAAATCCCTGCTGGCTTGGCTCTCCTTTCCCGTTGCTAAACAAGGCGACAGGAAACAGCTGTCGGCATGGAAACCATCTAGTCCCAGCAGAAGGGAAAAGTTCTGACGTTTCTTACCTGATGCAAAGTGCAAGAAAGCGAGCACATTTGTGTGCTATGCTGCGGCCCGCCTCAAAGAAACAGACACGCACGATGTCCGTTAACCTCACCCTGGTTTTGGCCAGGAGACCCTCCTTCCCTTCCCTAATACTAAAAAGAAAATGGAATAAAACAGAAAATGTGTTTTAGGAACCTCAGAGAATATTATCATCTGCATTATTTAAGGCAACATGGTGTTAGATCCAGGGCTGTGACAGTGTCAGGCTTAGCTAACACCCTGCTGTGACTGCTTAACTAAAACTACTTTAGCCCCAGCTTTAGAGACGCTGCCATGATTCGCTGTAGGTCAGTTCATAAAAACACCTGCTACACCTTTAAATAGGGAGTTTTAAGAGTAGGGTTAAAACTTTTTGATAAAGCTTATAGTTAGTGGCTCAGGTTATCCTGAGCTATCTCTATAGTTATTCTGCTATAGGCTTAGACTGCTGGAGGACATAGGGACCCCTTTTTATCATTGTGTTTCATTCTATCTCTATTCTTCCACTCTGCAGAATCTATTTGTTCAATCTCTAACGTTCTACTCTCTCTCTGCCTTTTCTCATAGTAGCTTCATCTGGACTGTCCCTGTTTGGATGTGACTCCATTTTGGAGAGAAATATCAGCTGCGCTGCTGCCATCAACACCTTTGTTTATAGATGTTGGAGTGTAGTCCTGTTTCTCTGACTAACTGGATGTGCTTTCTTCCTCTTCTGACAGGGGAGCTGGCTCGGAGCTCGTCTACCTGGCTGTGTGTTTCCTGGATGGTGCAGCCTTTTACAGTTGCCTTTTCTATCTCTGCTTCTGTCTCCTTGAACCCCAGTCCGCCTCAACAGATGGCCGCTCACACTGAGCCTGATTCTGCTGGAGGTTTCTTCCTGTTAAAAGGGAGTTTTTCCTCTCCACTGTTGCTAAAAGCATGCTTGTTTTTCCTTGGAAAGAAAACTTTGAACCTTTAATCTGCCTGGATAATCCGGATCTGTAGATATTCGAGATGAAATGAGTTGTGAATGAAGGCTGGATAAATAAACTGAACTAAATATGTGTGTTTAAGAATCTTTGGCTCCCAACAAAACCAGCGATATTATTTCTTATTTCCAAATGAAGGAGGGAGTTTTCCTTTTTTCCTTTAAATGATTGCTTAGTGGTCATTGCCTGGTGCTGTGAAGCGCTTCTATGGCTATGGCTCTATGGGTGTGCTGAGTGTTGCTAGGTATGTCCTGCCTGCAGGGTCCGTTGGAGAAAACTCCGGCCAGCCAGCACAGAATGTCGAGAATGAGGCTCTGTGCGTGCTCATCGGTCGGACCGCCCTCCATCTGGTGACACAGTGCGTCCAGCAGCTTCTCATGAAAGTCTGGGAACTGCAGCATGGCGCAGCGCTGGACCCTAGAGAAACCAGACCCCTGTTATCTTGTGAGAAATGCAGGAAAGGTATAAAACACCTAAAGACGGCAATGCTACCCCACAGATACATTCAGGGATCCGTTTGGTGTTTGACAGACGTAGAGCGAACCTTTCTTTTGGAAGCGAAGTCTTCTTGAACTTCCTGATTGTGACGGACACTTCCTGCAGCAGGTCGCAGCCTCGCAGGTTCTCCACCTTCTTGGACTGGGCTGCACCCTCGGTTTTTCCTGAAGCAGCCCTCTCCTACAAAAGTGACAGAGCGGCTCTAATAAAATCTACCAGGGACCAGAATTGTCTCAGTTTAGCTAGAGGACCAAAGAGCCGACCCACCTTGGAGGCCTGGCTCTGCTGCAGCAGGGAGGACAGCGTGTGAGCCTTGGAGCTCTGAGGCTTGGCGCTGGGCATCCTGAGCACGGGCCTCGGGCTCTCCTCCATGCCGCTGTCGCTCACTGCTTTGATGTGGACCAGAAAGGAGCGGTACTTCCCTCCCGCCATTCCTGCAGAGCAAAGACGGTTAAAGAAACTCAGCATCCTAGTGAAAGGATAACAGATCAGGATGGTTGGCATTGGGGGTGGGGGGTTTACCTCTGACCAGTTTGGGGCTGGTGAGGCTCAGCATGCCCGAGTGTCCGGAAAGATCCAATCCACTGGCCAACCACACAGGGCCGCACAAAATGTCCTCTTTATGGTCCTCAAGGAACGGACACAGTACGGAGCCTGAGGACAGAGACAAAACCAGAAGATGAGAAGGAAGCAGAGTTTGGTGCTTCAAGCTAAACGATCCTGATTCCCAGCAGTTACATAAAAGAAAGAACATTCCTTCTTTGAAGCATTGATCACAGCGTTCAGACTCATCTCCACTAAAGGGCTTCTCTTCACCTGGGGATTCCTCGATATCCATGAAGTGGATGTCTTCTGAGAAGTCCTGGAGAAGAGGCTGGCTGTTCTTCTCCCCGTTGGCATGGAGAAGGTTAGAGAGAGGGAAACTGATCTGTCTGTCCACTGCCGTGTCTGCAAAGAAATAAAAACAATCATTAGATCTCAATCCATCGTATGAATCCTAATAAATGCTTCTCTGAATCACTAATGTTCATCTGAGCTTCAGCAGCATCAGAGCTCGTCTTTTTGCTTTCGGGCGTTTTAGGCTGTTTTTCCAAATATCAAAGCTGACATTTACAGCTTCCAACAGTTTATGTCACCTGCTTTTAAAATCTGAGAAGAAACGGAAAATCACTCAGAACTGCTTCACTAGTCAGATTATTTGTAGGTAAAATACCTCTAAAAAAAAAAAAAAAAAAAAAAAAAAGGATAAATCACATTTCAGTGTTTAATTTTTGACAAAGCTTTCCTTCATTAAAATCACACGTGGAGAAGTGAACCCACCGGCCAGGAAGCCCCCACCTTCACAGCAGCGGGAATACAAGGCAGACAGGAGCGGGAATATCATGCTGAGAGGAGCAGGAATATCAGGCAGAGAGGAGCGGGAATATCAGGCGGAGAGGAGCGGGAATATCAGGCGGAGAGGAGCGCGAATATCGGGCAGAGAGGAGCGGGATTATCGGGCAGAGAGGAGCGGGAATATCGGGCAGAGAAGAGCGGGGAAATCGGGCAGAGAGGAGCGGGAATATCAGGCGGAGAGGAGCGGGGATATCGGGCAGAGAGGAGCGGGATTATCGGGCAGAGAGGAGCGGGAATATCGGGCAGAGAAGAGCGGGGATATCAGGCAGAGAAGAGCTGGAATATCGGGCGGAGAAGAACGGGGATATCGGGCAGAGAGGAGCAGGATTATCGGGCAGAGAGGAGCGGGAATATCGGGCAGAGAGGAGCGGGAATATCGGGCAGAGAAGAGCGGGAATATCGGGCAGAGAGGAGCGGGAATATCAGGCAGAGAGGAGAAAGAATATCAAGCAAAGAGGAGAAGGAATACCAGGCAGAGAGAAGCGGGAATATCAGGCAGATAATGATCCCATTTCATTTCTCCATAACTGAGCAAATCCAATGAACCAAGCTGTTCCTCACCGCTGACTTTGCCCAGGCCTGGAGCTTTGTTTTTCAATAAAGTGACTTGGATCTGAGGAATGTTGACAATATTGGCGTTCAGGACGAACTTGAAGTCCACGTGGCCCACCATGCAGGCTTTGGGCAGCACCAGCTCAAATACGTGCTCATCCCAGCTAGAGCTGAAAAACAAAACAAATTTATGTTAAAAAAAAAGAAAAATAACCACACCGTCTATTTTCATCCTGATAAAAACAGAAAATATCTCCATCGTCTATTTTCATCCCCTATAGAGCTAAAATCCTGCTGCATCTCAGGAAGTTAGGGGTGATCAGGACTCCACATCACAGAGAAGACAAAATGTCCCAGGAGGAGCCGAGAGGAGGAGGAATCAGAGACTGAAAAACACACATAAAAAGGAGCAAAAATCTCCCCTAAGGTAAATTAAACGATCTGCCAATGGAAAGGGTATCTTTATTATTTTATTAAAATAATACAATTTTTATGATACTGTTAAACGGAGCGGGACTCAACCATTGGTCATCACAGCACTAACAATCAGTGGTTAGCCTGACTCTATAACTATTTCCCTCAGCCTCTATGTAAAAATTCTCCTCAAACTCAGGCCATTTCTCAATCTGTTTACTTGTGCATCCTCATTTGCTCGTGAAACGTCATGAGCCTCAGCTCTAGCACTTGTCCGTTCTTGAGATTGACAGCTGTTAAGTTAAAAGTTCTCTTTTCTGTTGCCTGTCGTTTTAAGATCATTTAAGGCGAGAACATTATACTTTAAGCGTCACTACATGGCCCATTTACTGATTTAGTGCAGAATTTAAAAAAAAAAGTTCAGATGTTCAGAGGACCTCCGAGGCTAACCACAGCCAGGGCTAACGTTAGCCCGTCTGCGGCAGCCCTCTCTCTGCATAGCCATGTGTGAAGGACCACTGGCGCTGAAGCAGAGTTTTTTGTTTTATTTGGCAATATGTTCATCTGATATGTGTTTCTGACTGTTCATTAATATTTCCCCACTAATTGAAACAAGTAAAAATCTATTATTATCTAGAGACTATTAATAACAGGAGGTGAAATGCAGCTCCAGATGTCAGTGGTGATGTCATCAGTAGGCTTCTGCTCCAATTCACCCATATTTATTCTACATGCTCCCGTTCTCCAGGGAAAGGTCTTCAGGTCTTGGTCATGTGACTCTGGATTTTGGGAGTATAACTGAAGCAGAGAAGCCATGTCAGCGCTGCGGTCGGTCCTTCATGACGTCAAAAGGGAAACTAATTCTATGGTGAATATCGGCCCAGCTTCTATTGATGAATTTATCTGCTGACATTTGAAATTACCCGCATCGCTGATCAGAAACCAATCCTTTGAGTTGTTTCCATAGCAACTATAAATGAGTTATGAAGAATTAAGTTTCCCAGGGTTTCCAGATCAGCACTCAGTGAATAATGAACCTGCATGCAGACGGAGAAGCAGCGAAATGTTTCCACCTGTAGCTCTGCAGCTTCCAGGTGCGGGTGTGCTGGGCTGCATCTCCATGATGCTGCTGATGGAGGTGCTGCGGATGGCGCCGCTGCTGCTGCTCCTGCTGCACCTCCACCCAGCACGGCGGGACGGTGGCCGAGAAGCGCGGTGTCAGCGTCTCGAACCGTGTCAGCTCCATCAGCGACGCCAGACTCTCCGTGGTCAGAGGTTGGTCCACGAGGAGCTCCACTCCTGCACCAAGGGACGGTAAAAAGAAAATCCATCAGATCCTTTATCAGGACCGCATGGCAGGGAATTTTCCTGCTTCCTGTCCTACCTGTGATTCCAGGGCTGGATGGGTTGGAGGAGGGCTTGGCCCTCTCCAGCAGCGGCTCCCCCCCTTTAGAAAGGGTTCCATCTATAAACATATCTCCGTCATCTGCATCCTCACAAACCCCTCCAATTTGAAGGAAATGAAGTTCACCACCTTAAGAGACACAGATGACAAAAACATCAGGAGGAGTGAAGACTGTGAGGAAGTTCTCAGTGGAAACATTTCAGGAAAAACTCCACTTTAGGATGGAAAGGTGTTGCCCTGCAGCAGAAGCATTCCCCATGCAGTGGATAAAAGCTGTATTCTGTCAATATTTCTCAGAAAGCAGCAACCTTGAGTCATTTGATGTGCATCATCCCAGCTCTGGAAAAACCTGCGTGTTCATTAAAACCAACCTTAAGTAGAATTAAAACAATAAAAACGGGAAAAAAATGGTGAAAAAAAACCGAATGTTGTACCATGATGCTGCTCTAAATATGGCTCTGGGTTCTCTTGTGACCTCAGCGATCATTTCTGATGGTGCTCCTACATTTCCTAAAGCAAACTTTGGGGAAAAAAAAAAAAAGGAGCCATTTTACCCAAAGCCTAGCTAACAAAGGCTACGTTCACACTGCAGCCTGAAGTGACACAAATCTGATTTTTGGCTCATATGCGACCTAGATTATCTTTTCATGGCTATCTTCACAGCACAGATCCTATTTTTTCTAATCCCACCCAGGCCGCTCGGCTCTGTGGTCCTGAATCCAATACAAATCTGTGATCTGTGTCTGAACGGCCAGTTCGCATTCATCCGACCTGAACGCCATAAATACCCGACAAAAGTCACTAATCTGCGTCTTGGTCAACAGAAGCAACAAGAAAAACATCAACCCTGGCGGACGATGATGCCGAGAGCAGTATTTATGTTTAACCATCTTAAAAAGATTGTGTCTCTATGTTTGAAAAAGATCGGTAGATGCCCTCCGGAACTACCATCCATGTTTACTTCCGTAAACACAGAGCATGCTGGCCTGTGATGTCATTGCATCCTCTACTGCACATGCGGGACACTTGCGTTGTATGACTGCAGGTCACACAGGAGATCACATACACTTGGAAATGTGAACGGCAACGCAAAAAATCAGATTTCACAAAAAAATCGGAATTGAGCATCAAGGCCTGCAGTGTGAACGTAGCCAAAGAGTTTGTACGCATTTTTAGTTTTTAAGCCTTTAAATTAGATGAGAGTAATATTTTTATTCCTAAAAACTCTGACTTATACAATCAGACACACGAGCGAACAGAAAATCCATAACGTCTGCATCACAAATGACTTCCACAAAGACAGAGTATGGATTTTGTTATACAGGAATTATTTTATGTTAAAAATAAACATTAATGACTTCAGACATCCAAAAACATATTCCTGGTTCTGTTCATTCTGTTGTAAAAATTAAATTCAAGTATTACCTAAAGAGCTGGTTATCATCCCACAGCATGTGTCACAGGTATGATGCAGATATTTTTGATCTATGTCCAATATTGAAGCATGGCCTGCGCTATGTTTTCCATGCCACAACGCAAGAGGGACAATCAGGAACTAGCTGTTTGTGCGACAACGGAGGGACAAGAGGGCGAAAAAGAGTCGAGATCCAGGTGGAAGAAGGGTCCCAGCGTTCTTACACACCCCAACCCCACCGTACACAACCGACCAGAAACGTGCCCCATACACACTTCCTCATTCTTCACCTTTACTAGACATGGATATACTTTAGTATATTCTGCTGTAAAATTAGTCTTATATTTTCGTTTTTTACTCGAGGATTCAACCTATTTCAGAGGATGCACAGCTTTGATTGGTAACCAGGTGACTGTCAGAGAGTATACTGAAACTTATTGACGCTCTTAGTGCGCTCTCTGACAACCAGTCGCCTGGAACGCTGGTTGAACAGAGCATCACTTTAGACAGATACGCAGAGGTTTCACAAGCAAGCTCCTCCCAAGACCCACCTCTCTCTTATTGTCTGTGCAATGCAGTACTTCTAATCCTCACATGCATGCATGAATTACTGTACTGCCTGCACCCTCTCACTCATATTAACAAAACACCACCTTGCATAGTCTAAAATCTGGGATAATGTATCCGACTCGCGGGCATTCGTGAACAACTATCAGTATCAAGGAGACTCCCGGAACGTCTGGGAGACTTGGGATGTCTGCAAGCCGGTAAGGTACCAAACAGGAAATATGGTTAGTGTAGAGCGGATATAGATTTGACCAATCAGAGGCCTCCTGTCTGCTGTCACCTACAATTTTGGAGAGGTGCAGCAGAAGGGCAGGGGCATATCTCTCTTAACTGCCACACACACAGACGACCTGATTTCTGAGTTTAAACCAACCTTTAGGCTTCTAAGAATAGTACTTGTTAATAAACCATTTAAAAGCATTACTTTGTAGAGGGGCCAAAGAGCTACTTGCGGCTCCGAAGCCGCAGGTTGCAGATACCTGTTCTATTATGGATAATGGTTCTCACTGTCCCAAGGCTTTCTTTTCATTAACAGAAATGGTCTACATCCTCTCTACACTATGTGTATTTCCTGTTTGGTACCTTACCGGCTTGTTTTGTTTGTGTGACCGCCATTGTGGAAAACGACTCGTGAAGATGGACCAGCTATAAAGACGAGCTGCGTGAGAACGCTGGGAGCCTTTTTCCACCTGGATCCCCGCTCTTTCTGCCCCTCATGTTCCTCCGTTGTCGCTCAAACTTTCCCCCACTTCCTTACCGCTTCGGCCATATCTAGACCCACAGCTAGTTCCTGATTGACCCTCTTGCGTTTTGGCGAGGAATAACATAGTGCAGACCACGCTTCAATATAAATCCAAAATATCTGCAGTGGTTGACGTTAAGCATTTTTACCACTTGCCCTTTTGGCAAGTGGCTTTCACATTTCATTTGCCCAGAAACACTTTTTACTTGCCCAGTATAATGTTTGATAAATATAGTTCCTAATATTCATTTTTGTATATATATCAATGAAACATGTTTGTTTTTTAAATGTTTTTTGTAATCCAGTATTTTTTAAGTTTCCAGGTTCCTGGTGTATATCTGCATGCGTCAGATAATGAACTCAGGCCTACATTACCGTGTTAACCTGTTTTTCAATCCTTCCTGCACATTCTTTTCAAACTAAACTTTGCTTTAAACTGTTGTTTGCTTGGAAAAATATAAATTGTAATGTTAAAAATCTAAAAAAAACTTGACAGGTTAAAAACTTACACTACTACTCACTAATTTAACAAGTTTAGCTCTATAACATTTAAATGCACCGCTCCAATGTCTAAGAGAAAAAAAATTAATGAACATTTTTTAATGTATGACCACTATACAGAAGACTGCCATATGATAGAAATATTTACACTGTGCGCATACATTTATTATTATTTTCCTAATCCCTGACTGATCATTTTTAATATAGCGTGTATTATAGTATAGATTAAATTCATCATCCAGCTGCTGCTCTGCAGAATTCTCTCCCCAAGGGCTGAATCACGCCTTCTACCGGAAAATAACTTTTTCAAATCACGCGAGAATGTTTAAAAAACAACAAAAATGGTGCCGGCAACGTTTGTGGGTCGTTTACAGGTGATTTTAAAGTAATTTTGAGTGATAAATTTTTTTTGTGACCATTGCACTTGCCCTAAAAACTACTTGCCCCGGGCGATAGGGCAATGGTTAACATCTAGCCCTGATCTGACACTGTGACACACTGCTGCGGGAGGATAACCAGCCCTTAGATCTGCAAGGTGTGACAGGGCCTTTAAAGTTTTTTTTTATTCAGCTTTTGGCCAAAGCCTATTGTTTTTGTTGCAGCCCCTGTTGGTAGCACTGATGACTAACGTATTCGATTGGCTAATAAGTGGGAACTGAATAATCATAGTCTGATGAGCTCCATCTGTTAGCTAAGAGGTTTTCTCCTTGAGACTGAACCTTGATTAATTAACAGATGCTGACAGTTTATCAGTCAGGAACATTTCCATTCTTGAATTATGTCTTCATGCTTTTCCACCTTTTCCCACAAGAACAGTAAAAATAAAAGAACTTTTGAATATTTCAACCTTGAACCTTAAAAGGAATCAGAAGTGAGCCACAAAGGTTTAGTCTTCAAAGAGTCGACCACCAGGAGGACCGATGTCCTTGGGGTCTACATCTCTGAAGGTTCTAATTAGGTTCTAAGACCAAACAAACGCCTCCCTTTATCACCAAGAACCAAAGTGGTACCCTGGAGGTCTGAGCAGAAGCACAGGAGTGCAACAGCTTCACTTCTCCTCAAATCAAAAAGGGATCGAATGAAAGGGTTTGTTTTAGTGACATCATACTGCTAAGAAATAAGGGGGCTGAAGGTTCTACCTGCTGCCCGTCAGGAGGAACAGAAGGTTTACCTTTAGTGCAGGCACAAAGGCGGTCCGTCCCAGAGCAGTAGGTCACTGAGACAAACGGGTCAGCCTCCTCGGTTAACCCCTCTTTTTTGGGTGGTTCCACTTTGGCCAGAACCTCCAAGGTGGACAGGTCCAAAATCATGATGAAGCCGGCCTGCGTGGTGACCACCAGGTGTCCTAGGCCCGCCATCTCTGCCTTCTTGCAGTCTCTGTGGGCGTAGGCAGAGGTGGAGGGACTGGAGACGTTACCGGCGCTGCCGGTTGGCGCCGCTTCACATGCGGTCTTGACTCCCGGCTCGGACAAACCGTTCTTGGAAGCGGAGAGCAGAGCTTCTTCTGGGGTTTCTTCGCTCTCATCTTCTCTGCTGTCCAGCACATCTGGGGGAAGCAGGATCAGGGAGGTTATGGCATCGCAGGGGTCCCAGATGTGCTGGACTTTAACCGGCTCCTCTTCCAGGGTGACGATGCGGGTGGAGTAGTTGAACTTGTACAGAGCGAGGTAGCCCCCTCCCCCCCCACGGCTCTGGGCCCTCTCCTGCTGCTGGTTTCCTGGGGGTACAATGAAGGGGGTCTGAGGCGGGGACCCCCCTGGGTGATGGCCTTCCATCCCATTGGCCAGCGGGCGGAGGGGGTCTGCCTCTCGCTGGCTGCAGAGCGCTGAGTGGAGGCGGTTCAGGTTGTTCAGAGCCTCCACTTGGTTGGAGGCGCTGAGCGACTCCAAGCTGCAAGGCTTCAGCCCCACCAGCAGGTGGACGCCGTCCCAGCACGGCGTGATGGAGTCCACAAACAGGCTCTCCTCTTCCAGCTGCTTGGGCAGCCTTAAGCACTGCACCAGCGTTCCGGGGCGGGGGGGGTTGGACGCCGCTGCCAACGTGCTCCATTTATCGTGTCCGTCTATCCCGCTCAGATTAGTGGCGTCGGCGAACTGCTGAATGTAAGTGATGGGAGGATCCTGAAGAAGCAGCTGCTCGTGGGTATCGAACTCCATCTCAATTATCTGTGGCACAGTGAAGCCTTCCTCCTGGAGACCTTTGCTCATCAAACTGTTCATCTGAGCAAACACCTGCCCGGAGGATTTGTCATCAACCTCTCTAATGCTATAGAGCAGCAGCACAGGGACGGTCCTGCGCACGGCAGGCAGAGAGGAGGGACTCAGCAGCTTAGAACCAGCCAAGTTAGAGAAGCCTTGCTCATGGGCACCAGTCTGGGGGTGGCAGGGATCTATCTCCATTGGACCGTGTTCCTGTGGAGGTGCAGCCAGCGGCTCAGCAGCCTGAGTCCTTAGCGGGCCGTCGGTGGTCCTGCGTGTCGATGTGGAGGCCGGTGGGGCGGCGGCCGCGGGGGTGATGGAGGCTGAGCGGTAGCTGAGCAGGCCTCCCGCTAGCAAGCAGGGAAAGGGAATGTTGTGGTGGTCAGGCACCTTGTCTTTTGGTTTGGCATGGCTGTGTGCCTTGGTTTGGTTTAAGGAGGGGTTGGCTCCCAGCTCCTCCAAGTCTTTGACGGTGTCCTCCAGGACACTGGCAACCACTTCCCACTGAAGCTTCTCCGGCTGCTGCAGCACGCTGAGCGCCGTCACGCTGAGGCTCAGGTCCATGCTCTCCCACTGGGAAGGCTGACCTGGAACAACATGGGGAAGGACAGTCTGAACGTTGCTGATCTTCCATCAAGTACCAGCAGAGGGCGCTGCGGCAGGCTGCTTACCAGTTATGGACTCGGAGCGTGAAGGCTCCTCGCTGTCAGAGTCCTCCAGCTGGTCGTCACTGAACAAGACGGGAATGAAAACCGTTAGAGAACAGGAAGAAGAAACATTTCACTGAAACCAGCTGATAAAGGGCTGATAGACACACAAACAATCAGTTCTTAAATTCATTTTTTCCTACAGATCACTTCCTATTGAAGCCCGATTGAAACGCTCACTCTTGATTTTCACATTGACCAATCAGAATGCTGCATCTAACAGGCCACAGCCGTGAAGGCTATAACATCTGCTAGATTGAAAGCAAGCATTTAATAAAACTCAACCTGAAAAAAAGAAAAAACTGCAAAACGAAATTTGAAAACTATTGTCTTCACCGAGCCAGAGGTCGCTCCGCACCGAGTTCCCTCCATGGCTAAGTGCTGTGCCATTATTTGCTGAAGATGCCGCTGCTCTGTCAAATGAGCATACCCCGTCAGACCAGCATACCCACAGTCAATACGCATGCGTAAGACATCTATTTGGGTTTTTCCCTTTAGTTTTCCCTTTAGTTTTGTATGAAAAATTTCCCTTGAGGCAATGTTTCGTACCATGAATCCAAAAGTGGAACAATAACTGAAATAAAGTCGATTTTAGTTAATCTTTTAATTTGAGCATTTAATTTTTATAAATGTCTGCTTTCCTCCTCAAATAAAAAAAAAACTATAGAAATATGTTACCTGGAAGTAACAGGTAACACCTGGAATCGAAATAAATATAAAATAAAATTCTAATAAAAGGGTCTATGCAGGAATGAGTAACTCTAATTTAATGCTTTTAATGCTCTTAGAAATAATATTAATACCATCAACAAGTACCCATGACTCTCATTTATATATATATAAATAATCTTAAGCATCGATAGGCTGCATCCATGTCCCGAATTCCTCGTTTTCCTGTTCTTGAAATTAGCATTTTCCAATTTTCTAGCTTTTTTCTCCATCTTGAGCTTTTTTCCCAAATGTATGGCTTTATGATCAATCGGAAGCAGAAAAATTCTTTTTGAAACATGTTTTAAAAATGATAAAGCCCCATTTGAAAGCGTGTGGATGAAACACCATGTGACTGTGTTTTGGCCATTTCTATAAATAGATATACATCAGCAGGTGTCAGTTGGGCCGTGTACCGGGCTTAACGGGCTAATCATGATCAGACCTAATTTTCCGTCCTGGAGAACCAGCTGGTGTGATGACATCCATCTTCCAGACCGTGTGCTTTACCTGTCTCCCTCCAGCTTGGGTAGGTCAGAGCAGGAAGAGGACTCCTCCAGCCAGGTGAGAGTCGGCCTTCTGGACTCGGTCAGCGGCTGCTGGCCCGGCTCGCCGCCGCTCAGGATCAGCTGCCGGAGGATGGCTGGATCGTACGGATTCACGTCAAACTTCAGGTGCACCTGTGGAGACAAACATTGCATCTTAATGGAAAATATTCCTAAACCAGCGGATCAGGAGCGGGCGGCCGGCGGCCCTCACCTTCATCATTTTGGACACATCCCAGATACAGATCTTGCCCCTCCTGGTGGCGGCGGCCACAAACTGCGGGCAGCTGCCGAAGCCGTAGCAGGCGATTTTGTCCGAGCTGTCAGGACCGTTGGGGAACTGAGCAGGGCTGGTGGCCAGCGTGACCGACAGAGGGACGTTCTGCGTGTGCTCGCCCTTCACAAAGGGGCAGTTGGGAGAATGTCTCTCGTGTTCAGACCTGAGGGGGCGTAGGGAGGACTGTCAGAGGGGTTGGCGGTAGAGGAGGTAGCTGGTGGTTCATTCTGATCTACTCACCATGGCTCATCCGTAGGTTCCCAACAGACCAGGCACACGCTGCAGGTGAAACACATCGCCCTGTCATCCCCAGTGGAGGCAGGCTGTGACAGTGAGACAGAGGGGTCAAAAACAGGCAGCTGTGGAGAGGTAAGGCCTTAAGCAACACCAGGAAAGACCGAATCCTCAACTTCCCGTATTTCAGGGATTCAGAGCAAAGTGGCGCTGATGTTCACCAACATTTTGCCTGCAGCAGCTGTACTGCTGTTCAGCTTTCTCTGCTGACTTTTAGCCTAAAGCACTAAAACTAAAGCCAGGATGCTCCACCACTCCTGATTTTCTATAGGATGACGTTAAGGCCACAGCATTTTTTTCTTCCTTCTTCCAGGAAGCACGGGGAGTAAGGGAACAGGAAGTACTGGATTTTCTCCTTTATTTTTATCTGAAAGTAGGCGGGCAGCTGAGCTCACTACAGGCTGATTTCTATAGGAAAACCCATCTTCCTGTTGGCCCAGACCCGCTTCAGTACACACCTGGTGATAGAACCCAGCTTGAGCCATGGGGTCAGGCTGAGCCCATCGGTAGCCGGCATGTGGCCACGATGTAAACGTCTCCCGCCTGTTAGCCTCACTGTACATCAGGGATCTGTGGATAGAAACGCCTTCTTTGAAGCAAACCCAATCTAGAATGATGGTCTTCATCTGTTTATCTCTGATATGAGGAAACGTTTGCTCCAACCTGTCCACAGAGCGACCAGGGCCCACCCCCAGCTCCGGCCTGGCGCTGGACAGGAGGTAGGAGAGCCTGTCCATGATGGAGGAGGCTACAGACAAGGCAGCTACGTTCTGGTTGATCTTCTTCAGCTCGCTGACAATGGCGCCGGCCACAAGCTTTAGCACATGGTGAGGGAGGTGGAAGGTGACAGTAGCCCACTGCAGGAACAGAAGAGCAGAAAGGGAAAAGGTAAACAACATAACCACAGCAAAAATGTGCCACATATCAATCCAACTGGGAGGACAGTGTCTGTGATCGCTGCTGGAGGCAGCCACGTTTGATCCGTTCAAAATGCTAAAAGCAGCACAACAGCTCTGGTTCTGGATTCCTCATTTCAGAACTGACCAGATACAACAGCAACATGTCATCCTCATATTTGACAGTTTATAGTCCAGACCGCATTAAAGGAATCAAACAAGTAGATTAAAAAGAGTGTAGAAATTCAGCTCATACCATTTTCAATTAGTCTTTTAAGAAACTATATCTTCCTAGTAGAATAGTCACTCTGCAGGGCTCGATAACCACCGGCTTTCAAGCCCCTGTTACAACTTCAGGTTTTAGACCAGCGTATCCCAATGTATGAAAAATCGGGCAAAAACGCTGGCATGGTTATGGGTACGTTTTGTATGAGTTATGAGCATGCTGAAACGAGTAGACATAGGGCAGATGGCATATGCCAGCGTATGCTCATACGTGGGGAATAAGTTCCATGTAAGTTATCTGATCGTTTAAAGGGCCAGTTCAGCAGCACAGCTCCCAATAAATGGGGTTGGATTCCAGCCACAGCGTTTCAGAAGGACGAGCTGCCGTTAGCTTACCTTGGCTACTTTGTGATTGGCCGCCGTCTCATGTGACGTGTTCTTCAGCCCCTCTTTAAGCTGGCTGATAAACTGCTCGTAGCCCTCAGTGCTGGACACATCGATCTTCTCCTGACAAGCCGACAGCATCTGCTGGGCCTAAAAAACAAGCAAACACAAAAACTTTCAGTTCCACCATCCAACCTTTAAAAACTTTAGCAACAAGAAACCTGCCCGATTTTCTCCTTTCTGGTTATGCAATGAAATAAGTTCCTTCTTTGTCCCTTTTTAAGGGGAAACATCAGATTTGAATCCAAGGAGCTGGTGAAGATTCTCAGTCATCCAGGTCATAGTCATTCCAAAAAAGTTTAAAAAGTCCAGCGGTTTGCTTTTTTTTTCCAACTTTTTTGGGATCCAAGGAGAAAATATCTAAATTATAGAAGGAGCAGTAGGGCCATACGGAGCCTTTATGTTTTAAACACAGAGAATAAAGCCATTGTGATATCAGACGGATCTTTGGTTTATTTTTCCATCAGAGTTTCCAACATTAAAGCAGGATATTTGAAGTGGATCCCCCTGAAAGTCCGAGTTCAGAATCAGAGAGCTAAGCCAACACGACCTAATCAAACATTTGCCTTTATTGGTTAATGAACCTAGAATCTAGAATAAAAGGATCTCATTGATCGACGAATCAATGTGCTAAATTCAGGAGTTTCCTCTTTCATCAAGAGGATCCTTCCATAACAAGAAGGGCTTATTATTTTCTTAGAAAATGTTTAAGGCTACGTTCACAGAGCAGCCTGAAGTGACCCAAATCTGACTTTTTTTACCCATATGTGACCTGGATCCGATCTTTTCATGAGTCTGAACAACTCAGATCTGATTTTTTTTCCAATGCGACGCAGGCCCTGAATCTGATATTATCAAATGCGACCTGTGTCTGAACAGAAAGCAGCATGACGCGCGTGCTGCTTCATTTTTGATGTTTGTATAAGTTCAGTTCTGACGCGCAGCTGAAGCATCTTTGCTGCTCCAGCTGCGCGCTGAAAAGCAGGTCTGATGCACGTTGGGTGGAGCTACACTATCCTTTCTTTGCCTGTTACAATGGCAGCTATATTTGCTGTGATCAGTAGGTAAAAAGTAGTTTTAATGCTTTTAAGTGAGAAACTCCTGAAAGTATCATCTTTGCAGTCAGTTCCTCCAGTTCAGCGGTCCCCAACCTTTTTTGCACCACAGACCGCTGTATGTCAGACAATATTTTCACGGACCGGCCGGGGGTGGGGTGGGATGTACGATCAAGTAAAATGATACGACTGACATAAAATCAAATACAAACAGCATAAAAATAAAACAACAAGCCGGTCCCATCTAGGTGTAATCGGAGACAATGACACACGAAGTGAGCTGCTGATGTCCAGTCTGCTCAGTAGCTTTGTTTTGGTCGCTGTAACAGCAGAAAATCCCGCTTCACAAAGATAGGATGTTATAGATAGGATGAGTCTTGAACTGAATTAACCTTTGTCAACAGGCACAGACTAATGTAATTGGGAGAGAATACCGCAATTCATCACTCAGACTCTGATCGTCGATAAATTATATATATATATATATATATATATATATATATATATATATATATATTGTAAATAATATTGGCCTGTATTCCAATAGCGGCCGGGTCTCTAATAATGGCCAGTCTCGCTGTCAGAGGAGGTAAATAATGGCCGGTCTCTAATACAGGCCGGGGCTATAAACGTTTTTTCTGGGCATACCTCAACACTATACTTGTGGTAGTAACATACAAGTACCACAGCCCTGCGCAGCTGGACGACAGGCCCTAACTGCTGCCCGTCTGCGCGAGGAAGAGAACAGACACGCAGCACAACAGGAGGAGCGCGAGTGATGAGGAGATTAAAGGGAGAGATGAAGAGGAGGAGGAAACTGAGCAAGGATTAAACAGAATTGGAGGATTTTTTTTTTTTTCTTTTACTTCAAACCAAGCGAGACATGGTAACTGTACTTTTTCAATAAATGAACCTAGTGTTTTATAGGTTCAAATAGACACAAAATCTCATTTTTATTCATTCCACTGGTAGTCTGTTTTGCTCAAATAGCAATAGAGGCCTGTCTCTAATTCTGGCCTCTATCCAATAAAGGCCTGGACCGCGATGCACTTGAGTGAAATAAAGGCCCGGGCCTATATTAGAGAATTTACGGTACATACACTTTTTTCTGTGCGGCCCGGTACCAAATGACCCACAGACCAGTAACGGTCCGCGGCCCGGTGGTTGGGGACCGCTGATCCAGATTACCATCCTGCCCTCAAATATTATTTCTCCGTCTGAGCCGCTCAGATCCCCACATACCTACATTCCCCTACTGTTCGTGGATGGCTGGAAGTAGATGTTAGCGTTTTTCAGGTATGTGGTATAGAGATGTCCCGATCCAGGTTTTTGCACTTCCGATCCGATACCGATATTGTTTTTGGACTTCCGATACCGATACTGGCCGATACCAGCCTATCCGAGCATGTATTTAAGTTTAAGTTAAAGTATTTAGCCTTAGTTGTAAGACTCATGTTGAAAAGGGTTTTAGTACTCTTGATAACATCTAGCCAGCTAAATTAGGTGAGATTGAATAAAACACAATGATTGGTAACAACAAACTTATCTGTTTATGAAGAGATAAACACAAACTGGACAAAATTATGAATAGCAATCTGAAATTGCACAGTGAGCAGTAAAACCGTAAACAGTTAAAGGTGCCAGTATTACTGTAAGTTTTAATAAAAATGCAAAACAGGGGAACACTGGCGCAAAATAGATGAATGGATCGTTTCAATCGGCGAAACTGGAAAATACGGACCGGATTTTTTTTTTTAAAACTGGATCGGCAGTCTGGATCGGCATTTTACATGCTTTGCCGATACGCATTTTTTTGCCAATATCGGCGTCCCGATCCGATACGTGGATCGGATCGGGACAAGCCTAATGTGGTACAAACTGAAAGCATGAGAATAATAAAATCCAACATATTTTGTTGGCAGGTTTAAACATTTTAAGTTAAATAAGGCGTTAATAAACTGTTTCAGTGGAGTGATCATAGCGCTCTGCATCAGCAGCGCTGCGTCTGTCTCCCTGCCAGCTCCCAGATCACTTCCTTGATTAGTTGATGTAGTGCGTCCAGCAGCAAAAGTTCCAATTTTCCAACTCCAGCATCTGCTTCTAAATCACGTCAGAAGCTCAGAAGAACACGAGGCGCTGCTCCTGCTGCTCTAAACGCGCTGCGGTACCTTTTGCTGCAGCAAGATGCGCGTCAACCATTGATTTTGCATGTAAACTAGCTGCCTCAGCAGTCTGCCACTTCCAGCTGGATACATTGGAAATAGCAGCGATACATCATAACCATAAAACACTGAAGAAATTGGTTTTGATGGAGGATGAAACTTAAAGGATCCCTAAGCAGAAGTATTGGAGCGACCGGTAACTTACTATAGTTAACCGGTTTATTCTCACTTGAAGCTTTGACTCATGCAGTGGACTCTTACCTCGGTGACCGGCAGCTCCAGCTGAACCGTGTCCTCCGGCTTGGCGACTGGTGGCTGTAGGGCCGTGTCCAGGAGCAGAATGCCGTTCAAGTCCTTCCTGCACCCTACGGCGTAGTCGTCCACAAAAAGCACTTTGTCGACAGCAGGAAAGTACTGGCACCTGACCCGGCCGCCTGGTTTAGCTAGGACATGAAAGAACACCCATCAGTTAGATTAGCACATGCAAACAGAAAGCTCCAGTCCTTTCCTGGAATAATGCAGCCAGGCTTTTTTTTTTTTGGTCACACGCTGAAAAGTTCTGCTATCCTGCATTAGCCAGTTCAACAAACATGTGTTCAGATCATATGTTTGCTATTTTATGAAAGTATGCAGATAGAAAACGGGATTAGTGAGCGGGAAAGACATGCAGCAGAGGTCAGCAGGCCGGGAATCGAACCGCACTGAGGACTAAGCCTCTGCACAGTGAATGCAGAACCGTCGCGCCCATGAGGTCCATCATTAATGATTTTATTAAGAAATGTTTCTTTTGGTTTAAACTGAGACGTGTGTAACACTTATCAATAGTCACTTCTATCATTCAGATTGAAGAAGGAAGAGAAATATTGGCTTCAAGAATCAACCAAAGAAAAAACTTAAACTAGTCCATGCATTTGTTACTTCCAGGCTGGACTTTTGTAATTCTTTACCATCAGGAAGTCCACAAACTGTAGTTAAAAGCCTTCAGCTGATCCAAAATGCTGCAGCCAGAGTTCTGATGAAAATTAAAAAGAGAGATCATATCTCTCCTATCCTGGCTTCTCTTCATTGGCTTCCTGTTAAATCCAGAATAGAATTTAAAATCCTCCTTCTCACATATAAAGCCTTAAATGGCCAAGCTCCATCTTATATCAGAGATCTGATTGTTCCTTATGTTCCTAACAGAGCACTTCGCTCTCAATCTGCAGGTTTACTAGTGGTTCCTAGAATTTCTAAAGTAGAATGGGAGGCAGATCTTTTAGTTATCAGGCTCCTCTCCTGTGGAACCAACTACCAGTTTTAGTCTGTGAGGCAGACACCCTGTCTACTTTTAAGGCTAGGCTTAAAACTTTCCTTTTTGATAAAGCTTATAGTTAGAGTGGCTCAGGTTATCCTGAGCTATCTCTATAGTTATGCTGCTATAGGCTTAGACTGCTGGAGGACATAAGGACCCCTTTTCATCAGAATCTGTTAGTTCAATCTCTCCGTTTTTTTCTCATAGTAGCTTCATCTGGTCTGTTCCTGTTTGGCTGTGACTCCATCCTGGAGAGAAATATCAGCTGTGCTGCTGCCATCAACACCTTTGTTTATAGATGTTGGACATCGGCCTGTTTTTTTATGTAGTCCTGTTTCTCTAACTGGATGTGCTCTCTTCATCCTCTGACATGGGAGCTGGCTCTGTGCTCGCCTACCTGGCTGTGTGTTTCCTGGACAGAGCCTTTTACAGCTGCTTTTTGTATCTCAGCTTCTGTCTCCTTGAACCCCAGTCGGCCTCAGTCCTCATGCCGTCTGCCTTCACTGCTTCACAAACAAGCAATATTTCCACCAAAATTGATCCGTCAACTTTTTCTGTCCAAGGACGTAGGGAATCATTTTTCAGGATCTGGTCTAAGTGGACAAACTATGTAAAATCAATAATCCCTGTGATCTAAACCTGTCTTATCAGATGTAAATACTGTTGTGCTGTGTATTGTACCCTATTGGCAGGCTTATGTCCTGGATTGTGCTTTTCCCTAAATATAAGGAAAACTTGAATCAGACCCCATGTTCCCACTCGCTCGCTTTTCAGTTATAGATGTTTGGTTATTATACAAAAACTCTGGATCGGCTTATGTTGTTCTTTTCCATATTTCCACTGTGGTGGAAGCTTGAATGTACAAAGCAATTGTAACCTGCTTTTCCAAATAAAAATTTCAATAAAAAAAAAAAAAATTGATCCGTCATCACTGGAATCATCCAAGAACAGAACCTCGACTGTGTTATTCTGTGGGGCATGGAGCCATTTTTTACCACACAAACCTGGTTACATACTTATCCTGGCAAATACAGGCCATCATATTCAACCTCTAAGACAAGCAGTGGTGACCTTCCTGATGAGATGGTGTCTCATCCACACCAGCAGCCCGAGGAACAGAGGGTTAAACAGGATCCATTAAGATCAACAATGATGGATCCAGTGGATAATAATCCACCGTTAGGTGATCATTGGAACATAAAGAGGCAGAAACCTTTTCCTCAAAGTTAATGTTGTAATGCTTTCCAAGTGCAGCTTTTTAAATCGTTTTTACAATTTTATCTTAACTAAATATCCGCTCTTTAACACTAGAACTCCAAAGGCTGTCATTTTGACAGTTCTGAGATTTTAAAGGGAAAGAACTTTATTTACATTAATCATATGTTGCTCATGTTTCTATATTTCCTTTATTTTCACGTAGTTTCTTTAATAAAATATAAACGTAAAACAATAAATATGGTTAATTTTACCTCAATCTCCCACAACCATCATTTTGACGGCTCTATTAGTTGCATTTTAAATTTTTCCTGTGGTTGATCAACTTTTGCTACCGTTGCCTAGCAACCAAGATTCTACTTAGAAAACTCAGGAACTCTTTAGCTAATATGGAAAAATGGCTTCCAGAACAAATCTAAGCGAAACAGGCTTTAGAAATCCTTCAAAATATTGTTGATAGCGATTCAGGAGAAGACGGAGAGACCGAGGATGATCAACCAACCCCAGGAAAACGCAGACTTATCAGCGACCCATCAGACAATAGGGAAAACTTTTGTTCCACACCTCAGCCGCTACACTCAGCGGCCCAAAAGCCAAACCAGAGCCTGTGGTCTACTATAATCACACAGGCATGGATGTGTTGGATCAGATAATTATTAGAAGGTATTCTATAAAAGCTCCAACACTAAGGTGGCCTGTGGTTCTTTTAAAATCTTTAAAAATGCGTTTGTTTAGTTCAGGAACTGATTGAAAGTCACCACTTCACGCAGAGATTTTATCCTTGAACTGGAAAAACAATTGCGTGCCGACCGCATGCGCTCCGCAGGTTACCAACCACTCCGCCATAGAACGGCAGCTTTGGTGAGGCAAAGTAAACAGCGCCAGGTGCTTCAGCGCTACACAAAAAAAAAAAATGCTGATGTTTGTCATAAATGTGACATGGTGATGTGCTGCGAATATGCGGCGGGAAGCGATCAATTTCTGTATATAAAACTTGAATTTCAAACTTTGAACATGTGTGGTAAAACAGCCTTATTTTACCGATTTATTTTTAATACAAATTAAGACAACAAATAATAGCATATAATACAGCCTTTAAAAACATATATTAGACCTGTTTTAAGGTTTACATATCCACACTAGAACCATTTCAGTCGATGACATCACTACTTATCCATTCTATTGGGAAAAATGTCCCCCGTCAAATTGACAGCCAGTGGGAGATCTAATAGGATTCTAGGAGTCATAGTGTTAAAGGGACAGTGTGGCTTTGAGCCAGTTGGGGGCGCTACAACGGTAATATTCGTGCTTGTCTCCTAAGCAAAAAAACAATCATCTAAATAACGCCAACGATCGGATAGGCTGTCTAAAGACAGTGTTTAATAAAACGGATTAATTCACTGGTTTAATCAGTTGATTTTATGAAGCCAGCTCTAAATACAAGCAGCAGGTCAGTAGCAGACCAAGCCTGGCTTCTTCTGCACCATCCTCAACATGTCATCATGTCTGAACATTTCATACTTAAGTACCACACATCAACTTTGTATTTCGACAAAAGAAAACCGTTCTGCCAAGAACAAGCTGCAACAATCAGGGCGGCAAGAACACTCTGCCAGACCAGAGGAAGAAGCCTGAAGATCCGCTTACATGGATTCTGGAATTGCCAAGAAAGATAAAAACACAATCCTAATAATAAAAAAAAAAAAAAAAAAAAAAAAAACATTAATTTGGATGGAAACTAAACCCCATATAAACCAGGCAACATCTGATGTGTTCAATGGCTGCAGAGCAACAGCAGAAATCCTTTTACCAAGTTATGAACAAAAACTTCATAGTTTTCATTTGAAATACTTTGCTATGATAGCCCTCCACTTACAAACGGGATCGCACTTGAAAACATTTGTGACCCTGCCTATGAAAACCCAGCTAAAGTCATTTTTTGGTGAATCTCAACTTAATGTATAAAACCATTCAACACAATGTTAGGAATGTATTCTGAAAAATTCAGATTGATATCCCTACTCTGTGAATTTTAGAGATATCAATCTGAATTTTTCAGAATACATTCTTAACATTGTGTAGAATGGTTTTATACATTAAGTTGAGATTCACCAAAAAATGACTTTAGCTGGGTTTTCATAGGCAGGGTCACATTTTAGCGTTACAGACGTCATTGTTTTTTTTTTTATAGCCCCTTTAAACAGAACACAACTCAATGTTCTACTGCATTTTGCACCATAGTTATTTATTTGCACTGCATTGAACCTTCCATATCAATGGCTTTTGCACAAGGACTGTAAACAGGTTTTCCCTTTCTCTCTACATTGTTTAAGCCCCTGTCGCACCTTGATGATTTAGACCAGCGTATGCCTGACGTATGGAATATCTGGCAAAAACACTTATGGGTACGTTTTGTATAGGTTATGAGCACGCTGAAGCACGCTGGAACACGTCAACATAGGCCATATGACATATACCAGCGTATGCCATACATGGAACATAAGTTCCAGGTAACTTATCTGATGTCAGTTAAGATAAGTCTTGGCGTCTAGCTTATCCAAAACCTATGAATAACTTCTGCATAACTTATAAAGAACTTCTCTCCAACGCATATCAACATATCAGACGTATTCCAGACGAGCGCTGAACGGTTTCTAACTTCCAGCTACTGTATAATGGCGTATTGGCAGCGTTTTGGTATAAAGGGGGTTCACAGGAGGAAACCATCAGTTCTCCTCTAGACTTCATCTCCATCATAGGGTGAGCCAGAAGGTGATGGATCCTCCCTGCGTTCACGCCCACCACCAACAAACTTCCCAACAGACATGACGCTGAATCTGCTGTGACTGCAAACCTTCTTAATTTCTGTTTTCTTTTTTTTCGGCAAGCAGTAAGCAGCAGCTAGGTTAATACCGCGATAAAAGACATCTTTTTATGTAGACCGGGAGCCTCTGTTCGGAGCAGCGATGGCTGAGGGGAGCGGCTTTAACTGATGCTTTGTAATGCCCATGAAATGTGCATTATTTCATGGGCATTACAATGCAGTGTGTTATGCATAAGTAAATATGTTTGTATTCTATGTATATGCCCAAAATTGAAAAAATACAAAGAAAGTTCAGCTTATGGCAGCGTTTTAGGAGATTCTTGGACGTCAGGCATCACTGGCTAAATCCTCAAGGTGTGACAGGGGCCTTATATTCTAAACACTGTTGCACTTTATACATGCTAATGTTCATTTCACTGCTAAGCTGCTCATTCACGGTTGAAAAGCTGTATGCATCGAAATTTTATTTCGTATACACTCTGTGTATACATGATGACGATTAATTTTCTCCAAGTCTAAAAATATCAAGGTTTATCAAAATGAGCAGAAGATCGAGTCTTTATAGAGGGGAAATGTAATGTCTTATAGTTTAATTATTCAAAGCCCCACCAAATGCAAATCTAGATTTTCTCACCTTTTTAATCAGATTTCCTGAGCTGTAATCTAAACAGTGTTCCTCATTCCCACATCAGAATATGCTTCATAACATTTCCAACACTCAGTACTTAAATAAAATGTTTTTCTAAGCTAAATTAACATAAATAGGGATGAACAGGTTAGCAAAAACTTTAAAGTCGTAGGGAAGCGGCTGTTCCAATAATTTCCGAATTCTCCCAAGTGTTGCCCGACTTTACACAAGTGAATAAAGTGTGTAAACAAGTGTGATTGGTTGTTTATCAAGGGGGAAGGATTGTTGTGGCGGAAGTACGTTTGATTGTAACTGGTTTCTCTGAAGCATCTTGTTAACCAGTTAGCAACTTAGTGCTAGTAGGTTCCCAATGGAAAATTCCATTGGGACCAAGTAGCACTAAATTGGTGACTTAGAAACGACACTGTCAAAGGAACGCTATGGACAGAGGAAACATGCAAGAGGAGGAGAGTTTAGTGTCAGAGGTCGTGAATGAGTCTCCTCTGAGATACATTTTTTTATTTAGAGGAGGAAAGCGGGGACGAAGATGTTGTGGAAGAGGACGCCAGGGCGGCAGAAGCTTGGTTTGGTGTAGAAGGCTTCCAGCCGTACATGTTTGAGCCCTTGCCTCGCAACGCTGCCAGTTCTGTTAGCTCTACGCCTGCTGAAGACACAGACGTCCATCCCCGTGAACACTGGGACGGAACTCAATGGGAAAGGAAATGATTCTTATTTCAGCCGTTACGTATTTTAGCTGTGACATATGAATCAAGATGCTATGACCAAAAAAAGTAGATTGACAGATGACCGTTGATATATGATTGGCTGAATTTAGGTGTTCAGGCTGACCTATAACTGACCTGCAATCTTCTAAATTTTGGACAATATCGTCTGATAAAGAGTAGGTTTATATACATGTTTAAGCCAAAAGATTTGACTTTTAAATACAATTTTCCTACGACTTTAAATCTGAAATCTCTAACATAATAAGATCAGACTAAAAGACAAGGCGGTAGCATAAATAATATTATGAATGATTTTCACTACATACTGACCCACATTAGATAATGAGTGAAGATGTTTGTTGGCCTGTAAATATGAAAACCCTGTCCTATTTATAGATGAGCTGTATAATGATGCTGATAATGAAGGACTGGGAAATGTTGGAAGCTTTAGATTTCTGCCTGCTGCTTCTAATGTGGAAACATTATTTATGCTTGATTGGATTTTTACTATTTTTAGTTTTCCTTCTTAATTGGTTGAACACAGGAAATAAAATCTAAATGATGTTAACATAGAAAGAGAAAACTAAGGGCCACGGTGACTGACCCCAGCAGGCCGGGTGGCCTCAGTCATCATGCCACTGGGGCCCCCAGCAGTCCCGCTGACTGACTGCCGGTGAGCTGTGAAGTTCTGCAGCTAGCTTAGCGGCTAACACAGCCTTAGCAATGTTCCCAGGCATCCTCAGACGGCCCCCACCCGGTGGAGCCTTCAGTCCAGGGCCATTTTCCACACGAACTGCCGGCTAACTGCCGCTGTACAAAGTCCTACAGCTAGCCGCTAGCCTTTAGCAGCAGTAGCAGGGCTAATGTTGCCTGGTGCGACATAAACAGTGAGTGACATTCGCCGAAGATTAAACTTAATGGCAACAAAATCACCGTTTTGCCTAAAATACTGGGGGTCATTTGTTTTACGCCCCCAGAAAAGGCTGAAAGAGCCGCAGCTGTCAAAACAAGCAGGCTAGTGCTAGCAGTAGCAGCTAGCACACCGGGGTGATGCTTCCTTCCCCGCCTGTTGACAAACTATTCAGGCTGTCAAAACTGAAAGTGTTGTTGTCACGGCGTGACAGAGAAGCCCGGTGCTCACCGTGAAGCGCTGAAGCCTGGAGAATGGCCCCCGAAGTCCCGTCGATCACCTTAATGCTCCCCTGGCTGGTAACGGCTAAGATAGCGTTGAGGGCCGGGTGGTAGGACAGACTTCGCAGGCCCTCCTCGTCGCAACGCAGGCACCCGTCTCTCACTACAATCCAGTCCGAGGAGGCGGACGAGCCCGAGCCCGGTGAGGCCGCGGCCGCCATCTTTCCTATCCCCCCACCCCCCCTTCCTCCTCCTCTAGGTTTATCAAACCCGGAAATTAACTTAAAGTGAATTCATCAAAGGGGCAGATTCCAAATTAGCAGTCCCCAGCCTTCTGCGGCTTCTTCTCCGCCCGTCTCCGCCGCAGCTGCTCTTCACCATCGGCGCAGAGGAACTCCAGGCTAGGCTCTGTCACTACACCATCGGAACACGGAGCTCGCGTACCGCTTCTAAACATCTCGCGAGAACACAGCGCCGAACGATAGCTGCCTTCGAGGACAGCTGATGAACATAACTATCAAGGCTTTGCAGCTATGCTGGTTACAGTTCACAGGGGAGCATGGACAGTCATTATATAAAATATAATATATTATATCTAATGTAAATATATAATATATATATATATATCTATATATATATAGATATATATATATATATATATATATATATATATATATATATATATATATATATATATCTATACAGGTGCTGGTCATAAAATTAGAATATCATGAAAAAGTAGATTGATTTCAGTAATTCCATTTAAAAAGTGAAACTTGTATATTATATTCATACATTACATACAAACTCATATATTTCAGATGTTTATTTTGTTTAATTTTGATGATTACAAATGACAACAAATGAAAATCTCAAATTCATCATATCAGAAAATTAGAATATTGTGAAAAGGTTCAAAATTGATGGCCCCTGGTGCCACACTCTAATCAGCTAATTAACTCAAACCACCTGCAAAAGCCTTTAAATGGTCTTTCAGTCTAGTTCTATAGGCTACACAATCATGGGGAAGACTGCTGACTTGACAGTTGTCCAAAAGACGACCATCGACACCTTGCACAAGGAGGGCAAGACACAAAAGGTCATCGCTAAAGAGGCTGGCTGTTCACAGAGCTCAGTGTCCAAGCACATTAATAGAGAGGCGAAGGGAAGGAAAAGATGTGGTCGAAAAAAGTGTACAAGCAAGAGAGATAACCGCACCCTGGAGAGGATTGTGAAACAAAACCCATTCAAAAATGTGGGGGAGATTCACAAAGAGTGGACTGCAGCTGGAGTGAGTGCTTCAAGAACCACCACACACAGACGTATGAAAGACATGGGTTTCTGCTGTCGCATTCCTTGTGTCAAGCCACTCTTGAACCACAGACAGCGTCAGAAGCGTCTTGCCTGGGCTAAAGAGAAACAGGACTGGACTGCTGGTGAGTGGTCCAAAGTCATGTTCTCTGATGAAAGTAAATTTTGCATTTCCTTTGGAAATCAAGGTCCCAGAGTCTGCAGGAAAAGAAGAGAGGCACTTCATCCACGTTGCTTGAAGTCCAGTGTAAAGTTTCCACAGTCAGTGATGGTTTGGGGTGCCATGTCATCTGCTGGTGTTGGTCCATTGTGTTTTCTGAGGTCCAGGGTCAACGCAGCCACATACCAGGAAGTTTTAGAGCACTTCATGCTTCCTGCAGCTGACCAACTTTTTGGAGATGCAGATTTCATTTTCCAACAGGACTTGGCACCTGCACACAGTGCCAAAGCTACCAGTACCTGGTTGAAGGACCATGGTATCCCTGTTCTTAATTGGCCAGCAAACTCTCCTGACCTTAACCCCATAGAAAATCTATGGGGTATTGTGAAGAAGAAGATGCAATACACCAGACCCAACAATTCAGAAGAGCTAAAAGCCACTATTAGAGCAACCTGGGCTATCATAACACCTGAGCAGTGCCACAGACTGATCGACTCCATGCCACGCCGCATTGCTGCAGTAATACAGGCCAAAGGAGGCCCAACTAAATACTGAGTGCTGTACATGCTCATACTTTTCATGTTCATACTTTTCAGTTGGCCAACATTTCTATAAATCCTTTGTTTTTATTGGTCTTCAGTAATATTCTAATTTTCTGATATGATGAATTTGAGATTTTCATTTGTTGTCATTTGTAATCATCAAAATTGAACAAAATAAACATCTGAAATATATGAGTTTGTATGTAATGTATGAATATAATATACAAGTTTCACTTTTTAAATGGAATTACTGAAATCAATCTACTTTTTCATGATATTCTAATTTTATGACCAGCACCTGTATATAGATATATATATATATCTATAGTATATAAGAAAGTTTAATGGCTAATGATAATTATATTCTAGATATATATTTTTTTTCTGTTTTCTTGGTTTTTACAGCAAATGAAAACACTTTGCATGAAACATCAAATAAAAATAAAAAACACACACCCCCAATTGACCTGACTCCATCCCATGAAAATGCAAGTAAATAAGTCAGTTAGTTAAAATGTTAACAATTAAACACCTAAATAAGCTTATCTTTATAAGTCTTTAATAAATCTTATTAAAAAATTAAATTATTGTTTTATTGTTACATATTTTCACTCTAAATCTCCAAATGCATATACAATGTGTCTGATTTTCACCTATATCTATAGTCTTTGAGCATCCTTATATTTTATTATTGTCTTGATCGTTAATTAGATTTAAAATAAGCACTGCATGTGTTGAATACAGCATATACAATGGGAAATAGTAAAGATTAGAAATGATTTAAATGCCAAGAGAAAGTGTTCTATTATCTGAATATTGTAATGTTATGCATCTTTATTCAAATGGTTCGCTGAGAGCAGAGGGAGACAGACCTCTCAGGCATGGGCGGTTCTAGAAAGGGGCCATATCATGTCCTGGCCCCCATTACAGCCCCTGTACCAAACACATAATACTAAAGAAATTCTAATGATGATATGCGCTGGAACAGACATGGTTACTGATAGGTCCTTTAGGTCAATTTAATTGATTATCTTTACAAGTTTTGTTTTACTAATTATTTTGAATAAAATAAGGTGATAGCTTCAGTGGTATTGAGATAGGATCCCAGTTTAATCTGCTACATGTTTTTTTTTTCTCAAAACAAAACAAAAAAAATTACAGCTGAATTTATTTAGTTTTTTTTTTTTGTTATAATTCTGATTTTATAGAAAATAGTCATTTTGACTTAACTTAAGTCAAAAATATGTAAAATTCCTAAAGTATGAATTAATAGACCTAATATTCCAAATAATAGCTTTAATTGATCTTTTAGATATTCATATAGCTACAATTTTTTTAGTTGCTTTTTTGCTATGCTAAGGGATATTTATTTTGATTTTAACAATAATCCAATGAACATTTTCAGTTGGAAGACATAAAATTTTAATTAAACCTACCTGAATGGAAATTTCACTTCATGCAGCTATCTTAACATATTTGAATCCCATGCCAATGAAAACACTGCATTCTAATCATTTCCTAAAACATTGCTTACTTTTTCCATCCAAAGATTCACACTTTGGCAAACATCAGTTTCCTTCAATTTTAGGGTCCCATGCCATATTGCTGACAGGTGGGGGATTCACTATTAGGCAAGACTAGGCAGTTGCCTAGGGCCCCATAAAACTCTGTTTACATGTATGATTAATGCAACTATTCCTTATTTGTGCACATTAATTATGTTTTTGATAAGAATCTTTTCACTAAAATGCCATCAGAACGCTTATAATATTAAGTGTATCTCAGCCCCCCCCCCCCCCCCCTCAGTGTCCACCATACTGGATCAGTCCATTTGCTGCACATGTTCAGAAAGATCCAAACAGACAGCAGCAAACCAGCAGCGAACTCTGCTCTCCAGAGCGAGTAGATTGGTAACCCCGCCTCCTGCTCTCCTCTATCTTGTCTGCTGTCATGATTCATGCAGCTATTATTTGATCCAAATGAAAAATGGAGAACAGAGAAGCAGATCATGGCTTGTCTACAGTGAAAAGAAGGACTGGGTTATTTACTTTGGCCTTTTTGGAAACACAGGAAGGAGCAATCAGCTAAGTGAGCTTAATGCTTGGAAAAAAAGCTTTAATTCCTTTAGAAACGGCATGAAAAGTCAGCTGAGTACAAAACATAGAGATGAAAACAAGTTTAAGCTCAGGTTTAAGCAAATAAAGCTGTCAGGTCTCAGGAATAAACATTTTCATTTTAAGGTCTTAGGGCTCAGAGAACAACAGCTTTTTTTAAACCAGCCGAGCAGATTTTCCTGCTTAATGTCCCTCCATTTTCCATGAGTCACTGAAGATTAAAGCTTTGTTTCATTTTTCCTCTTTTATTCCTTTTATCTTTTTACACAAATTAAATTTATGATTGTGTGAATGTTATTTTTAACCAATGTTTTGGGGTTTTGTTTTTATCTGTACTGTTTTATTTCATTTTTTTTTCTGTACAGCACTTCGGGCAGCTGTGGTTGTTTGTAAGCAAATAAAATGGGATTAGTCAAGCTGATCAAAAATGATCAAAAATTATCAAAAATTTAAAAATTTGAACCCTCCAAATAAACTTTTTAAGGTTTTTAACTCAACGTTTTAAGAAAGTAGGTTTGTTAAGTATCTGCTTAGTTGGTCAAGGTTTCTCTGAATGAAAAAAGAGGTCAATCATTTATTATGACCAAAGAACTGATCCGTTCATTCCAAAGACCAGGGGTCTGTTTCATGAAGCAGGTTTACTGAAGTTTTCAAAACCTGAAATCAGGGAAATTTTTTCATTTCATAAAGTTTCCTCAACCTATGTTTCAGTCGCCATAGTAACATCCTCCCAGAGCTAAGCTGGTCAGCAGCAGGTTTTCTGCAGTAAACTCAGTGTCCTCTGTCTCCTCTTTCTTTACAGCCAATCAACCTGTTTTATTTCCTGATTATTTAGTGACATTTTTGTTGTAGTTTTGTTCATAAAAGATATATGTATCAGTCCATCCATTAAACAAATTAGATTTTAAAGCAAACATTGCATGTCCGTTTGCCGAGGATCGTATTAAAGACTGATCTGCAATCAAATTAAATATTTATAGGGAGAGAATTCTACAACTCAGTCGACAGAATATGAGATTGATTGATTTTGGTTTATTTAAAGGTATTGTGGAGGATTTTCAAAAATTTTTTGAAAGTTAATGTCTGCATCACTCATACAAGGTCACTTTCCAAGACTCACCATTGTTAAGTGAAAATGGGGAGGAGCAGGTAGGATGGCCTTACGTTAACATATCACCAAAATGATTGGAAATTAGGAGGACCACTTATATTGATGATCCACCTGGAAAAAGAACATCCTCCACTGTACATTTAATATGATCGAGATGCAGATCATTTAATTTTATTAAGTTATATTTAGAGTACATGAAGAACTACTGAAATTATTTTCAGAT